CTAGTTCAATGCCCGTTTTAAGTAGCATCGCATCCCAACCAAAATTAGGCAATGTTATGTAATGAGCGGGGTCTAATCCATAATCAACTAAACAAGTCTTTCTAAAGTTCTCAAAGACATCCGTTAGTAATAAAACATCAGTCTGTAAGTATAAGTCATGATACTGACCTAGGTTTTTTATCTTAAAATGTTCCCATATCTTATTTGCTCTATCGTATTCCGATTGTTTAATCCCTTCTTCTGTTAATTTACTGTAGAAGTCCTCATTTTTAGGTAGTGATGTTTCATTAAATCTATTAAAATCAGTAAAATAGTCGTAGGGATAAACGCCCTTATCAGTTAATAAATCTAAATCAGTATCATCATTTACATAAACGCTCTTCTTACTAAAAGTAAATCCATTCTGCCATTCATTCCTCTTCTCATCGTTTTCATATTTCGTCAGTTTAACTAACTTATCTAATGATGAAGATAAGAAACTAAAGCTGTCTTTAAACTCTAAGTTATCAACCGTAAAGGTTACAAACTTCTCGCTGTTCTGCGCTATTACGCTTATCTTGTCCTTGTTCTTATTCAGCTTCTCCATATGTGATATTATTAGGTGAGCATCGTAGTTTTTAAGGTTGTGAAAAAATACGGGTATTTTAAAGTGTTTGAAACAATAATCTAAATTACATTTGTTGTGTGCGGCGCCCCTATATTGACCTGTAAAGTGGCAGTGGTCGGCCACTTTAGTTTTTGCTGGGTCTTTCGGGTTGAAGCGCCCGCCACATATAAAACAATGTTTTTCTTTCTTATGTTCTTCTTGTTGTTTGGTCGTCCATTGTAATTTCTTATTCTCCTTCATCTTGTCCATAATCTCTTCTTTTATTTTATTCATGGTTGAACAAAATCTATCCATACAATCTTCACCTCTGTATAAGTAAGGTGTTGCTTCGTTTGTTATGCTATTAACTACATTTAGCATAAAACCGCAGGGTTTATGATGTTGGTAAGTGCCCTTCGGACACTTAGGACAACTATCGTTGTCGTACGCCCCCTTTATTCCATCAGATGAAGGGGTTGTTAAACACTCAAAGTCACCATCAATAACATAAGGGCACTTAAGTTTCTTGTAATGTTTTGGAAAACTCATTTTTTCGTCTTCTTTTGGCATTACTATTTGTTGTATTTCGTGCGCCATACATCCTTTTAATAAGTGGTTGTTAAGTAGCGTTTCTTTTTGAAAACCCCGTTGGCAATACATACAATGAAAGATTTTAATTTTGTTTTTGTTCGTTTGTGCTCCCATTAACTTATTATAATCTTTGATTAAAACATAGTGGTTATTATCGCCCTCTTCTAATAATAACAAATTAACGTGACACGACGGATTTTTAATTTTAGTAACTCTATTTACCACTATTGAATTGGTGCCGTTTGGGTCAACGGCGTAAACATTAACCGATATAGCTCTATCGTTTATTTCTTCAAAGGTGTCGATGTCTTCATTAGATGCTGGAAACTCTACACCTTCCCATTTTATTAAATTATCATTTTCTTTTAGCTTGTTGTAATGATACATCCTGTCGGGGTGGTCTTTCTTCATTATCTCATAAAACCTTGATTGGACGCAGTATTTGAAACAGTAATCGTCGTCATTCTTAATATTAATACATGCCTTTTTAGTAGCAATCCATTTAGGTAGTTCAATGTATTTACCCGCCCTTGTCGGGTTGTATTTGTCATAATGGATTGTGATTTTTTCAATGTGGTCTATTTTATATCCTGATTTGTTGAGTGCTGAGTTTCCTATGAGAATTTCTATGTCTGACGCCATATTATCCACTGCGTTCTTTAATTCTTCTGGGTTGTTAATCGTATAAATTCTGCTTGTAATTTTAAAAACCGCTTGTTCTTCCATTTCTATATGTGTAAAAGCGACGTCTGTATCAATCCTAATTTTCATATTGTTGTTCTTGTCTAAAAACTCCCTTAATCTTGGTTCTTGATATTTTAAATGTGTTAGTCCTCTTGTTCCCGTTAATAATGGTGATATGTTTGAAATAGAATATGAGTTGGCATATCGTTTAAAGGCACTTGTTTCATTTGTGACCCTTGCTTTCTTACTAATAACATATTTCTTCAATGCCTTTCTAATTGCTATGCCTTTCGTTGCCGTCTTTAATATATCATATCGTTTAAAACCCTGTGTTTTGGATACTGTCCTGAGTTTCTTCTTTAATCTATTTGAAAGTGGTTTTTCTTTATTATATGTGTATTCCTTTTCATCTATAATAACCTTGTTGAGTTGCTTGTTCCCGCGCGTTTTTATGTTGCCTAAGCGACTACTAATTAAATAGTCCATTATATAATCATAATCCGGTTCTACCATATATTATATAGTCGTTTTTTCTTTAAGTATATTTGGGCTAGGTTTTGCTTTGGTGGTTTTGGGTTGGGGGGTTTGGGGTTGTAACATAACTTATATATTTGGATTTGGTATGTATAAATGCTCTTATTACAAATGAAAGGAGACAATACCCGATGGTGGTTAAAAACCTGACGGGCGTTGAAATCCCGAGGGTTCGGGTTTGAAATCCCGAGGGTTCGGGTTTGAAATCCCGAGGGTTCGGGTTTGGGAGGGGTTTTAAGTGTATTTATAAGGGGAAAAGCGCCTAATCCCGAGGGTTCGGGTTTGAAATCCCGAGGGTTCGGGTTTGAAATCCCCGAGGTTGGGGTTTGAAATCCCCGAGGGTGGGGTTTAGGAGGGTTTTGTAGTGTATTTATAAGGGGAAAAGCACCTAATCCCGAGGGTTCGGGTTTGAAATCCCGAGGGTTCGGGTTTTAAATCCCCGAGGTTGGGGTTTGAAATCCCCGAGGGTGGGGTTTAGGAGGGTTTTGTAGTGTATTTATAAGGGGAAAAGCACCTAATCCCCGAGGTTGGGGTTTGAAATCCCCGAGGTTGGGGTTTGAAATCCCCGAGGTTGGGGTTTGAAATCCTCGAGGTTGGGGTTTGACATAACAAGTGCCCCAAAATGGTTTAAAGACTACGCCCCATTATATGGTATGGAGAATACGAAGCAAGAGTGTAGGCAATGCTCAAAATGTAAAAAGTCTAAAACTTAGGGAGAAAGCAAAAGAATATTACCAAGAAAATAAAGATAAGAAGAAAGTATATAACGAACAAACAAGGGAGACAAGACTAGAGAAAAAGAAAGAATACCGAGAAACACATCCAGAACAAATAGCGTCTTATAGCAAGGAATATAGAAAGAGAACTATTGTATGTCCTCATTGTTCAACTATCATCACTTTAAATAATAAAGCAACACATGAGAAAACAAAGAAACATCAAAACAATTTAAAAACCCAAGAACAACAAGAAGAAACATAAGCAACCATAACATTATTACTAATATAATGAAATGGTTGAACCACCCATAAACCCTAGGAATAACCAAAAGTTAGGGAATGTCTAGACCGAACTAAGCCCAGACTAGGCTTTAAGATAGGCGTTTCTATGAACCGCCTAACAAAAGCCAATTATAGCCTAACCCAGAGACCGAAAATAACATAACAACCAACCAGAACAAAATATTAAGATAATCTACTACCCCGAAAAAGGGACCTAACAGACTAAACAAATACTTCAAGGAGATATACCGGAACTTGGGCTAAGCAAAAAACGAAGAAGGAAGCAAACCCAGACAAAACGAACAAGACACCCCGAAGAAAAAACGAATAAGGCAACCATAGCAAGAAGACAGACCCCAGAGACAGAGAAATGAAAACAGAACAGCAACAAACAATGAGAAAAGATAGGTGACAATGATGGAAAACAAAGAATGAAGCAGACACAGCAACACCTAATGCTCCTGACCCTAGGAGCCTTTTTTCTACTATTTTTTCCCCCGCCCCCCCTTCAAGCAGACAAGGAGTTAGGTATGAGTGCAGGGTGGAAGGGTTCGTTTTTGTTCATTTTCGGGCCGGGGGGGGTTACAACCAACAACCAGCAACAACAGCAGCAACGAAAGCATCCACCAAATATGAATGCCAAAAACTCAGGAACGCTGCTTACGATTTTGCTACATACCTGTTGTACATTTGTTTTCGTAAAATGTTTAGGTTAAGTTTAAGTGAAAAGAAGGACTATACCAACAAAGAAACTGCATAAAGAAAACAACAGTCGCAAAAACAAACAGCCGCAAGTAACACAGCGAAGGCATGTGAAGGTCCGTTTACATGCGGCGCATGCGTGCACCTTTCAAATCTGTTCACAGTGCACTTACAGGCACGCGCGTGCCAGGTTTTACTTGATCAAAAGCCCCGGACCCTCCCCAGACCCCAGCCCCAGACCCCGGCCAACCCTGCCCGTGACGGTTGGGGGCTTTCGGAAAACACAGTAAAATGTTGCTCACGTGGTTTTGGACTTTCGCCGCCCTCCCAAAAATTAAGTAGTATACAGCTTCGGCGCCTGGCCACAAGATGTTAAAAAAGCGGGTGCGATGATGTAAGCTGTGGCATCGCAAACAGAACGAATACGTAACCTCAGCCCAAGCCCACACAAGGTTGTCCAGGTTCCAAGCAGTCAAACCAGGAAGGGCACACTTAACTGGAGCACAACCACAATGATGCTCCCGATGAGGTTGTCCAGTTGGGGGTGGGGATTCGGGATTGTCGGGATTTGGGTTTAGGGTCTCCAAGGTTGTGCCCTGGCTTCGGGCTCATTGGGTGGCTTGAGGGGCTTTCGGGCTCCGAGCAGGCCGATGCTCATTGGAGGCAGTGTAGGGTGTTAGTCTTCACGTCCACCAAGCTCCTCGCTGTCATGGTCAACGGTAACAAGAACGGTAGCAAACAAACTGCAGCACCCGCAGCTCCGTACTCGCTCTGCGGGGCGGCAAAAACTTAGCCTACGAGTACTTCTGGGGACGGTTTTTGGGTTCTCAGGTTGACCTTGTTTATTCATGCTCGACAGATTGCAGACACGCATTCTACTAGAATGAAGTGGTGACTGACAGGCGGCGAGCCTATGCTCCGCCTCGTTCAGCGAGAGGGAAACTATTGGGTGGACAAGGCGCGAGCCCAGCAAACCGAATTGTCATACCGCGTCTTCAGTCTCGTCCTGCGAAGGCGAACAGTATGTTAACGTTGCGCCCCAATCGGCCAGCAATCAGGTAGCTCCAGCCAGCAACAGCTCCAAGAAGCTGTGGGTGGTAGTCCGGGATCTGGCGACATCAGGGCACAAGTCGCGGGCTCGGACTTCCACCGAGGCATCGCATGACAAAGCGCTTGTTGCTAGAACATGCTAGAACAGCGGAGCCATCTTCGTGCAAGCCGAGGCTGTCGGAAAGCGATGTGATCAAGCCTGAATCCTAAAGGGCCGAGTGATTCTTGGGGGCCCGCCATCGCACTGCCTCACCTGACCAAAGCAAGGCTTGGTCGCTTCAAGTTCAAGGTCCGGCAGATGGTTGCGTCTGAGTCGGCCAGTTCCTTAGTTCCCTAGTTCCTTAGTGAAGCCTTAGTGACTTAGTGCATCATTGCCAGCATATTCCAACTGGACATTTGGCGACACTGTTTCCTCGCATTTGCCGCAGTCGTTGCGTCTGTCTGCATCATCAAGATTCTTTCAAGCTTTGCATTTTGGTCTGGGTTCACATAGTGGCATATTCAGACCTATTCTCGCAAGACATGCCCGCCGAGTCACCTGTCCAGCCAGAGCTGCACTTGGATGATGCCTCGGGGTTCGTATGCAACATAGAGCCATGACCCCAGTGATTCTCAGCGAGAGCTTCGCGCATTGCCACGACATGCGCGCAGCCTTGCCTGAAAGCAGGTCGGACCATGAGACCCGCCTTGCATCAACGCTAGTGGCCCAGTGAACCTCGTAGATGTGCGAGTGGTGCTGAGTGCTGAATGATTCTGGCATGTTACAGACTGCTAAGGTCTTGTCGTATTTGCTTACTGGAGGGGTCCTCCGACGATGACCCCCTCATCAGGCGGTTGATGCTCGTTTTAGCCCATGCTTATGCCGGCACTTGTACGACACGGACAGGCCCTGCAACTGCAGAGGATCGATTGAGTATGTGCATCTGGGTTGCCTCCGGCACTGGGTGGGGTTCTTGAAAATCTCTGCCATTCTCTGCGCGGGCTTTGGCTATGCTTTGCTCTCTCTCAGAGAGGCCCTGAATTCCTCAACCGAATCCAAGGTGAAGGGGCGCCTCAACATCGCAGATACGCCAGAAGGCTCATACTTCTATCGGCTCGAAGCTGAGCAATGCATGGCTTGCCCCACTTGTGACGGCGTGCGCTGTCTGGCAAGGGTATGCATGGTACGGACAAGTGGGACATTCAATGGATTCAATGGCCAACTGGACTGTCGCCAGCGTCGACCAACAGGAGGCTATGTCGAGCACAGATATGCACAGATGGAGGGGAAACCCTGTTTGGCCGGCAGCTGGTCACTTTTGATCTGGGTCACTTGTGTCCGCGTCCTCGCGGGTCACTGGTGCCCGCACCACAGTCGGGCCACAGTTTGGGCTGGCCGTCCAGCGTCCTGACCGTTCGCTCATGCCCGGCTCGTGCCTGCGTTTTCGCCTTCAAGTACAGCAGGGCCACAGGATGGGCTGCTTGTCACGCTAAAACTCGGGATCCTTCCACAGTCCCGCACACGACCGGAAAATCATGCTCTGGCGACAGTGCAACAAGTAACTAATATTGTTCCTCGCACGTTTTGGAAGCTCGTGCTCCCACCACAGTGCGGTGTAGATTTGGCATGAAACATTGCTCCCACTACAGTCCCGTGCATTGTTTTGGCCGGAGCTCGTCTGCCAGTGTTTCCCAAATCCTGAACCCTCCGCCCTAAACCCAGAATCCTAAGCTGCACACCTTAAGCCCGAATTAAGCCGAAAACCCTAGACAAACCCCAATGGATGATCTTTCTGCTCATCGTAATTCAATGAATATGGTTCTGTCTATTCTGAGGCCATTGCCGTGTGAGCTCTGCAAGGCACGAGAAACGAGTGATTGCAGTTTACATTACTCTAAGATTCAACATATCAACATCCATCTTTTGGCCCTCTTCTCATGATTGAAGTGCAGCAGTGGAAGCAACGCATTGGTGTGGCAGTCCTCTTACCCAGCCGCAGTCACCAAGGGTGGGAGCCCAAGTGCTCTGCAGTTCTGCAGTATAGCCACGTATAGATCCGTATAGCCGAGTATAGCCAGTGTGTCACTGCGCCAGTCTTTAAGGAGAGGACAAGATGCCTCTTGTGGAAGTCCCAAAGACGAAACCACCATTCATTGCTGGGTTCTGAGCGGAGAAGTTATGCAAGACAGATTGTGAGATATTGTGAGATCTTCAGCATCATGTCAAGGTGCTGGAAAACATGATGCGTGACGCGCAGCAGCTCTGACCACAGTCACAGTGTCAGTGCAACACGGAATGTGGAAATTTTGCACAAGAAGCGATGTTGAGTGCTTCTGAGTGGTTTCAATGTTTCAAGTGCTCGACGGTGAGGCACGCCAGCCGCGGCTTGCATGTGGCCAGTGGCTTAAAGCAACTGAAAGGAGAGAGCGCTCTCTGAGCTCTCGCGGATCTTCCGCTAGTGGGGATGCGTAGGATGCATAGAGCGTAGAGGAAACGGGAGGGAGCATTGGGGACTGATGCGGAGCATGGGGGGAGCATTGCGGAGCCACCCCCGGTGCCAGTCTCTACTCTCTTTTCTCAGAGGTGTCTCTAGCGGAGAACAAGGTGCTGAAGCTTGGCAGAGGTGCCACTTCGCATATCGCAGATTGTAAAAGTCAATTTGGTGTTTTCAGAGGGGACTTGGGATTTAGATTGAGTCTTGTCTTGGCCGAGGATGAAGCAAGGGACAATTTGTGTTTGCAGGCCACGAAAGCAATGTGCGCATTGCTGACGTGCTGCATTCTCAGCTCGTGTTTCCGCGTGAAACATTTTCCTGGTAATGGTTTGTGCCACTTCGCACGCGACATGTTGAGGTCGATCTCTCGATGTCACGCCATAATTCGCTATCAGAAAGGCCTAAGCAATGGCTAATTGTGCGCCATTGTTCTTACCCTCGCACTGAATGTGGCGTTCTGCAAGTTGTTCACCCAATCCGCACAGGCAGCTTCGTGCTTGAAGACCATAACTCCAAATTCGGTAAGGCTCCCAGTTTCGAAGTGACCTCAACACAGAACATGACAAGACTAAGGTTGAGCTATGTCGTCTGAAGCTGCTTGTTCATTAAGGTACTCTTGTGGCCATGAAGAAGCCACGCCCACTTGATCATAGCAGCGCTATTTCAATTCAGGTTGGGTTCCAGACTTAGCATGCAAAGTCTTCACTCGCAGCCGGTGGGACCAAACATTTGCTGAGGCGCACTGTTCTGTCGCTCTCTTTGCAATCGGAGCCGCCTGGTGGGCCGGTGCGCCCGCAGCGGGTGCTGATCCCTGGAAAAGTCGCGCCTGGCACATGTTGACGCACTTGCCAGGTCAACAGCCCCGCGACGACCGAGGAAGAAACTCCAATGCCGGGAATTGAGATTGCTGATTCGCTGTATGGTGTTCCATGGGTTTCAAAGCCTCACATGCTTCACATGCCTCATGCAATTTCACATACATTGCATAGCACTGCTCAGACTTTCGAATGCATGGATTTAGTAGACCTGCTAGGCGGCAACTGTGACATGCAGAGCTTCATGGTCCTGCTGCAAGTGACTTACTGGGCGACGCCCTACAGATTCTACGAGCAGCACTCGTGCTTTTCGTGCCTTTGGGAAATCACTTGTGAGGCCTGGAGGGTGGATCCTCCATTAGTTCTTAGCTCGAGTAGCTCTGACAGAGTGCCCGCCTCAGAGAATCATGAGAGCCGCTGCATTTTTCAGATTGCACGTCGTTTTGCACGTCGCTTTGCACGTCGCTTTGCACGTCGCTTTGCACGTCGCTTTGCACGTCGCTTTGCACGTCGCTTTGCATGTCGCTTTGCACGTCGCTTTGCACGTCGCTTTGCACGTTGCTTATGCTGCAGTTCCTTGTGCCCACCTGAAGCAAAAGAAAGCATCTCAATCCTTTGAGTTGCAAAAAGCCTGAACACCAAAACTGGTGCGTTTGAGTAGCGCATGCACTACAACACTACCATGCTGATGCAACCGGCAGAGCGGGCGTTGCGGCTCCGCAGAGATCACTTTCCACAGTCACCTGTTCAACTCATACACCGGTGCTATTGCACAGCCGCATGACAAGAAACCGCTCACACTACGGGTCACAACCGAATGACGATTGGACCGGGGAACTGGCTTCCGGTGACTGACCTGCTCCAAACAGCTACTAGTAGGTTCCTGGAAGAGTATCGGCTGTTGCTACATCGCACCGCAGCATTGCCAACAGTGTGTTTTGAGTGGGTGATGACCTTTTAGGCATTGGAATGGAGCTTCCAGGACATGCATCTGTTCTGTGCTCTAAACCATGACACCGCGAATCGTTTGGGTCACGTGCATGTCTTGCTGAGGCATAGCCTTAGTATGCGCCTGAGTTCACATCGCGATCTGGCAATGCCAGAGGGTTTGAGCCATGAGTGCAACAGACATTGAGCAGCGCGAGCAATGTAAATCGATGGTGTTTTGTCGAAGACGTGAGAGCCCGGTTCAACAGAACCAGGTTCCGGCCACAGTTTGTTACGGAGTTTGAGCTGTTGGGGACAAGCAGCCTTACGTCAATGTACGCAATTGTACGCATAATGTCTCTTGATGCTGCCCTGCGGAATGTTTGGAAACTCGGCCGCTGGAGAAGTACCCGGTCCTGGTGTGGCCGAATCTCTTCGTTGCACAAAGCATGAGCGATGTTTTGTGAACAACAAAGTAGTAGTGCTCGTGAACGATCCAGATGACGGTTTTGCTTTCGAGCGCGCTTCATGCTTCATTGTAACCGGGTTCTGGCAATGTCCTGGACTCTGTCCTGGCGGTGTAAACAAGGGCCGACAGGATAGCGCTTAACGTCTTAAAGTACTAAGGAAGCCAGGAAGCCGGGTGTGGTCCAAAGCGATTCTCTCAGAGCACTTGGCCCTCAGGGTTGCCTTAGTGGCAGCCATGCCGAGCTCGTGAATGTGAATGCAAAGCTTACAAAGCTGCAAAACTGAAAGAGCTCCGGTGGACAGGCGGTTGCGTTGACAAGACAAGATATAGCAAGACTCTCCTGTTTTTCAATCCGGAGCTGGGCAGCATGCTGACGCGACCGGGAACTTTCGTTCAAGAAGCTGTGTCAACTGGATATTTGTCGGTCAAGACACTTATCGTTGGAGACTTCCATGCTTTCAATGAGCCCTAACCCCGCAAGGGGTGGGCAGTGAATGCAAGGCCCCGTTTGTTCCCAGTTTCCTTTCCAGGAAACCTTATCACCCAAGCCTCGAAGCAGGCTTTCTTCCGGAGCATGGAGCAAAGTTCCGCTTTGAAGGAGATTGCCGGCGATTATTCTGGGCTGAACGCTTGAACACACTAAAGGGCTCCAAGACCTACATACAGCTTGTGTGATGTGCGTGTGTTGGTGCATCGCAGCGTGCTGTGGTACAATGCCACCACATTCTTTCTTGTTTCTCTTTTTCATTGGGCACTTTTAAGACACCTCTCACCTGCCCGATCTGCGACAGCAGGATGCCAGAGTCGCATGCGCGAACTGTTGCAACAGATACAGCAGCCTTGAGCAACTCCACGTTTTCAGCATCCTGCCCTGCACAGTTTGCACAACCACGAGAACCGGACGAGTACCGGGCATAACGTGATCGTGTCATCTAGGTTTGCCTTCCCACCAAGGCAGGGCGCGTTGAATCTCAACGTCTTCCTTGCCACAATATAGGCTTCTATAGGTCATGTAGGTTCTACATGCCCTTCAGTAAAGGAACCCGGTAGGTAACCCGGCACTTACTTCAGACATAATCGCAGGTGGGGGCAAGAGGCATACATCACCAGCTTATTCCTCTCAATTCGACAGTCCACCTGCCACCAAGTCAGCATTGCGCCGGCTTTGCTGCAAAGCAAACACGGGTCCGAGATGTTCATCAGTGTTGCAAAGTGGCAGTGGGTAGGATGTGACGAGGGCAACAGCCAACATGTCTGAATTTTCGTGGGACAACAGGACGGTGGTGGAAATGTTTGTGCTGTTGCTGTTGTTGCCCCGTACGACGTGACAGCCTGGCTGAAGGTTTGACTAGCTAGATCCTGACGCAAACAGGCCGCGGCCGCCGCTGCCTGAAGTGCCAGCTCAAACGCCTAAGTGCGTGGCGCCATGCAAGCCGACCATGGGAAGTCAACGAACTGAATAAGTCTCACAAACGTATGTTGACCCAACTTGTACGCAATGAATATATCGCAACATCATAGGAATGGAAGGTTTTTCGAAAAGCAGTCCAAGCGGGCTGTGAATGATTGAATGGTCGAGTCCAGCCCACGCTGTTCCTTTTGAATGCTCAAAAGACGGAACGGATCTTCTGGGCTGGGAGAAGGCCACAATGTTAAGACGAGTTGACAGGACATGAGAGGACTGTGTACTTTCTGATGGAGTAATCAAGTCTAAAACATTTTTTGGACAGTTTCTGCATCGTGGTCTGCGATCTTCGGTATTGATGCTCTCGACCATGCACTAGTCTCTGTGGCGGCGCAAAATGATGCCCCAAGCTCATGCCTTGCGCAGTCCGACACCCATAGCAAGATACAGAATGCGCTTCCGAGCTGAGCTGCTCAAGCAGTTGGTCGGGTCTAGGTGCCAACGGAGCGCCTTTGAGAATGCAACCTTAAGCACTTGCGAAACCCCGAAAGTCTTACATATGGCCCTACAACTGAGTTACAACCCCAAATACGAGGTCTACAAAGGTCAACATATATAGAGAAGGAGCTTCGCAGCTTCACATAAGCATTCGGGCATGGCGAAAGAGGCTCTTAAGGTGAGGGCCGTTCCGGGGGTCGAAAGTGTCTCTTCATGAGGCTCCTAAAGGCATGAACTCTGCGCCAGATCCGAGTGCCAGGTCGTAGTGAGACTCTTGCCGCCCGAAATCACGGAAGAGGAGCTCCTTGCTACCGCCTGAAACTACACTGGTTCCCTCACGAACCACACCGAACACTGTCGCCGAGGCCACTGTGCCTGAAGCACACCTGAAGCGAACCACCTGGCGAAACTTCCAGGCTCCGGAGATTCGCGCTTTTGCAAAGTCTCTTTCCTCATGCCACAGAGCTACAGAGAGTTCCAAGCGCAGGTTGGGAAGCGCTATCGAGGTGAAGCAAAACCATCGGTCAATGCTCGCGAGAATCTCAGCTGTTTTGCTCTTGCTGTTGCAGTCTCCGTGTTTCCGTCATGGTTGTTTTTCATTCTCTCTCTCTCCCTCTCTCACTCTGTGAACTTGTGTTCCTCCCACTCTCCCCCCCTCTCCCCCCCTCCCCCCCCTCTCCCCTCTCTCCCTCTCACCTCTCCTCCCGCTCCCTCCTCTCTCCCCCTCTCTCCCTCGTCTCCCCTCTCTCCCTCCTCTCTCCTCTCTCCCTCTCTCCCTCTCTCCCTCTCTCCTCTCTCTCCTCCTCTCCCTCTCTCCCTCTCTCCCTCTCTCCCTCTCTCCCCTCTCTCCCTCTCTCCCTCTCTCCCTCTCTCCCTCTCTCATCTCTCACTCTCTCTCTCTCTCTCCCTCTCTCCCTCTCTCCCTCTCTCCCTCTCTCCCTCTGTCCCTCTCTACCTCCTCTCTCCCTTTCTCCTTCTTCCTCACCTTCCGACGATGCTTTGCAGGTTGCTATTTCCTTTTCGACCAAGAGGACAGTGCTGAGAAATTTATCAAGGAGCCGGGGAAGCCTGCAAAAAAATCGCGCCCTAAGAACCAAGATGCTGAGGAGTATCATGGACATCAATTTGTTGATGGACAGGGGGAGCATTTTCGGGCCGTTGCTTGTTTTGCTCCCTATGCCAAAGTTCCGGTCTTAGCGTGGCAACCTTCGTCTGTTGTGAGGTATGAGCTTAGTTTTTTACCCCGCAAGGGCACGATGCAAATGCAACAGCAGAGATCTGCGCTGCTACGCAAGACAAGGTTCCGCGCCAGAAGGTGACCAAGGTGCATGTTGTTTTTTTACGCTCAGACTGTTTCTTTTCAAGCTGCGCGATATGTGGGAACCCAGCTGCAGGATGCCAGAGATGGAACTGTTTTTGAAGACGCCACCTACAAGCAGCCGCCTCCTCAAGGACCCGGTGCTGTTTCAGCGAATTGATGCCGAGATTCATGAGGTTTTTGGAAAGATTGGCGGCGCCTAAGACCTTTGAGGCGCGCAATTGCGCTCCAGCAGTTCGGAGACTTTTCTTGCTTCATGGTTGCAGGCTCCGCCAGACCCGGTTGCTGAGCTGCAACCTTCGAGCAAAAAGGCAGGCAGAATAATTGAAGCATGCGCGGCTTTGATGAGAGATGCGTGATGTCAGGATACTCCTTTGTTGAACTACATGAAGACAAGGCCATTGCACATTATGTAGTTGCATTTGATGCGTTGAGACTTGCAAGTGGGCGCTTCGAAAGGGCAGCTGAGAGAAGAGCTCGTCAAGAGAAACGCTCCTTTGCTGCAATTGCTGTGCGTGGCAAAAAGTTACCTTCTGGCCGGAACTGGCTCAACGACAAAAGCCACTTCATGTAATTCTTAATCTTTACGAAACAAGGCCATGAAGCCACTTCCCGCAGAACCGCATGCGAACGCCACTTTCCATAATCCCCCACCCTGTTTCATCTCGACTTCTGGCGGGGCGTGCTGTTGATGGGACGGAAAGAAGGTGGATGGGGGGTGGACCCTGCCTGAAGGAACTCTACTTTTAGTTTCCTTCTATTGTTGTTGATTTGCTTTGTTTTAGTTTTTGATGCTTTAAAATAATTTAAGATGCTTAAAGTATTCAAAAACTATTTACGTGGTTTCATTTGTTGAAAATGTTCAAATTGTTTAAATTGTTTAAGCTGTTAAAAATGTTTAAGCTGTTTGAATGTTGTTTTTTAACGGTTTAAATTGTGAAATTGTTAGAATTACATGTCTTCAACTTATTCAAATCATGTAAACTGTTTTAAGTGTTTAGTCCTTGTATTTGTTGTACTAGTGAGGTTATTGAGATTTTATATGAACTGTCAATTTTGGCTCCGAACCACCCCTCCGGTGACACAAACCCCCCCCGGTGACATAAAGGACGCTTCAAGGAAAGCAACCCCTGTGGGAACAGCTCACCCTTGGGTCGCCCTGCGGCGACTGGCTTGGCCGCGGGTAGGGTTCCCGAAAGTCTTTATTCCTTTGTTTGGGCAGGGTGTGGGTCTCCAGGGGTGCAACATGTTGCAACCACACAAGGGGAAAATGTGCGCTCGCCTGCGCGGAGAAACGAGATCGCGGCGTGCGCAGCGTCTAGGCCTCTCGCAAGAATGTCCCAAATCCTGTCGACAATCCATGTTGGATGCAGCTGTTTCAGTTCGCAACCCCTCTGTGTGTTAAGGTGAACGGGAGCGAAAGAGATGGCGTTCGGCTCTGAGTTCGAAGTCGAAGTCTTTTGTGACACTGGCTTGATCTGTGGAGGCTGTGAAATACTTCATGATGCAACTTTCTCCGTGTTTGGCCCGCCCAGATGATCGGCTCGGCCGCATAGAGGAAAAGCCCCGATGGCGCTGCGCGGAGCTGCGCCCTTGGTACAGGGAGATGTGTTGGTGGTTCTAGATTGGGTTTAGTCAGGTTTCATGATACCACTTCGGCTATGAACGTAGCATCCTGCCCATGGTTCCGTGTTCAGCCCATGTGTGGCAGCTTTCCGAAGGTGGCACCTGTATTTGCATTTTAGAACTACATTGGCCACATATGGCGGTTAATTACTGATCCTGGAAGCTCCGCAGTCTTGTTATTTGTCTGTCTTAAGTCGAACGGTCGAGCCGGCCATGTCCAGAGTTGGTTTTGGATAGTTCTTAGCTTCGTGCAGCTTCGTGTCGCTACCTTTTTGAAGGCTTACGAAGTGCCTCCTGGATGTCCAAGCGAAAAGGAAGAGAGAACTTCATCTTTGGCATGGGAAAAAACCTCCGGAGCCCTTTCGTCCTCGCCATCAAAGGATTTTGATACCAGCTCCGTCTCTCCGTCCCTCTGTCCGTCCCGTACATAAGTCGAAGCCCTTCCGAGGGTCGAAAAGGTTGGCAGCCGACGGGCTGAAACCCTAGTGCTCCCTAGTGCTTCTCAGTGCTTCCATCTCAGCTTCAAAACCTTTCACAAGCACTCTGTTCTGTTCTTCGGCCTTGTGTCTTCTTTTCCCAAGAACTTCTTGCGGGTTGGGTTATGCTACCTGCGCGAGAAGCGGGCTTAGCCTCAGGTGGGATGCGACACCCATAGGACTGGACTGTGGCAAGTAGGACGGGACTGGTAAGTAACGCTCGTGGCATCTAGTGGGCGTGGGACGGAGTGGGAGTACGCTCCGATTGGTTTTTCAGGGCCCCCTGAATCGTGACTTGTCATAACCGGTTTCGCCCTAATCTTCATGTTTGCACGCTGCGTTCTGCAGTCTTTCTTTCGACTTTCACGAGCCGGCCAACTGTTTGCTTTGTCTGCTTCCTGGGGCCATGAATGCTATGAATGCTCATGCGAGGCCTGCGCATGCCTCATTTGCAGCGGTGCTTGGCGGCGAAAGCACAATGCCTCTCAAAGCCTCTTCTTGCCTAACGAAGTTCAAGCTTCCCACACAGACACATCAAAGTGGCCATTGTCTCCGAAGCTTCCTCGAGGGACATGCGGATGACTTTCGTCTAACTTTGCGAACGAAGTGAGCCTGGAAGGCTTCTTTGTCCGGGGTCGAATTTTGGTCGTTTCATCCGGTTTCTTTTGTCAAGCCCCCTCTGTTCGAGAGATTTTTCCGCGCAGTGCATCACAAGTTAACCTTGTGTGATTGAACAACACGGGCACACCCGCAGGCAACTCATACACACACAGGAAGTATACTACAGTCCAACACCGTCCAACGAACGCGTGAGAGAGTATGCTTCAGCTATCTGTGGTTCCTCACAGACAGAATTTCTCATTGGTTTACCAAAGGTGTGGAACAGTGAAGCGCTTGGAAGAAGATCCAGATGCAAGAGGCCTTGCAGACTGGTTGTTACTGTTACTTGATGCTTTTGGATCGGGTGTCGCCTCGATTATTTGCATTCCGTTGTTTCGAAGGTACGTTTTACTGCACATACTGCTGGGAGATCTGGGAAGCCCAGGCTAAGCCCGGCATTCTCTTGAGCGAAGTAGAAGCTTCTTTTAAGAGAATTTACAGAGGAGTACAAGCAAAAGAAAAAGAAAAAAGCGAAGAAGTCAGAGGCAGCTGAGGCGCTGCAGCGAAATGGACTCGACTCGAGTTGGGTTTGCCCAGGATTTTGTTGCACGCACTTTGACGCACAGGAGTACCCGGAGGAAGAAGAGGAGGATTGGTATGAGGAGCCATCGTTGACTAAGTATCTGTCAATCGGGATGCAGACCAATGTTTGGTACTCTTGCTGTTCCAACCACACATTCCAGAGCCAGGTGAGTGGCTCGGTTGCGTGTAGATATGTGTAGATCGATGAAGCTGCCAGGGCTTCGAGATCTCTGCTTTGTGTGCAGAGGGGGTGAGCTTGGGAATCTGGCTAAAAGTTACATGCGACATGAACCTAACGACCTCACCGCTGGTCTTCCCAGGAGCCAAGCAGCAAGAAGAAGAAAAAGAAGAAGAAGGCAGCTTACGAAGAAGAATGGCACGAAAACAGCAGGCCTTTGCCAGCTTCAGAAACGAACTAGCAGTGACTGTGCGCCTCCTGACCTCCACCCTGCAGTAGCTGGTACAGTTCTGACCATGGAGATCCTTGGACGCAATGCGGAGTGCGATGAAGGGGATGCCAGGGCCGCTAGGGAGAGTCTTTGTGAAAATGGCTTGATGGGGCTGGCAGCCGGCAATATCCGCCAATGCTGCAGCAGGGACTGCAGAAATCTGCAGCGCATTGCAGTGCACCCCGCCCGGCAATACTTCGGACGGCCGGCGTTTGGGGATTGTGGCATGGTTCGCAGCTCATGTGGTCAGGCAGTGGAGTGGGGGGAGGCGAGGGGAGGCGGCGCAACAAGGGGTGAGACACATTTCAGTTCAGGGCACCTCTAGTTCAACGCCATGGAGGTCCTCTAGGGTGAAGTGATTGAATTGAGCATGCACGATGCCAGTAAGGATGACTGGGCATGGTATGACGCGGAAGCTTCGGAGGAAACTTCACTCGCATTGAGTTCACCGGGTATTTCCTTCTTTCGACAGTTGCAGTTACAGGAACCCAAGAAAAAGAAGAAAAAGAAGAAATCCAAGGCGCTACGGACTGAGCGGTTGAGCAGGTGTAACGTGGCAGACGGTCCTACGCTACTGCGCAGGACGTTGAGGATGAGTATGGTGCTTGCCACTGGCACGAAGAGGCGAGACGCTGACCATGGTGCATTTGGCATCGAGAAACGGCAATCTTTTTCCAGTCTTTTGCCAGGAATATTGGGGATCCGGTGAGCCGGAGGGCAAAACCAAGTCCAAGAGGTGAGCGGCTTTTGCTTGGGTTGACTTGTAGCAGGGCCTATGGCCCGCAGGGCCCGCAGGGCCCGCAGGGCCCGCAGGGCCCGCAGGGCCCACATCCATGTCGGAGGTCCAAGGCCAAGGACGCGGAAGAGTGGTGGGAGGAGTGCCCCGCCTTATTCAATTCGGATTGAGTTGCCAGACAAATCCATTTCCAGCCTACCCCGGAGGTTGTAGACCATCAATTTGGGTGATATCCAGGTCCAAGCCCAAGGAATCGTCGTCCAAGCGAAGGTCGGGCCCTTATGAAATCCCTTGAAGCACCATAGGCTCTTGAACTCCGCATCTGGTAGCTTAACCACGCTGTCCATCTCAAAGCTGCAGGTCTCACGGCACTTGGCGAGAGAAGGAGGACCACAAGGCCAGAGTGCCAGATCTTGAGTTTCGTGAGGGCTTCGGCTAGATCGGCTAGATTTCGCCAGATATTTTCCATGACTTTTGCCAGATGTTGCCAATGCTCGCATGTGAAGACTGTAAACATCTTTGGCTTCCAGGAGCCTGAGAAGCCTCGGCGCAGGAGATACCTTTGACTTTGACTTCAACATAGCATTGACTAACCATATGCAACCATGTGCAATCATGTGCAATCATGTGCAGTCGCAGCTGCGACACAGTAGCAATCGGTGAGGCGAGAGAAGGATGATGGCACTCAGTGGGTTCCCAAGCTGGAGCCTCAATCGAGGAGATTCTGCGTGTGACCTGATTTCTTTGCATGTTAGTAGGACAACCTATACTTATCCATATTGTAAAGGAAGATTCCATGTTCTCTATATTTATCTTCATTGGAAACCCTAGGGCCCTGGCCAGGCAGCTGTATCGAGGGAAATGCGCAGGTGAGAACTTGCGCATGCAAGAAGAAAGGAGGACAGACATATAGAAAGTAGCTTCGCCGAGCGGACTGGTGCTCCTGAGCTAGTAACATGGCAATATTGCAGCAAAGTGTCGAAGCTTTGATACGGAACCCGAAAAAGACTGCGCGTTGCTGGTGGCTCTCGAACAGCCATGGACAGCCGCCCCCCAAGGCGGAAGACGTGAGAACATCACCCAACCAGAGAAGGCCCGCGCCATGTTGGCATGTGTTGGGTGCATGATCATGGTCTATGCTTGTGCATCGTGGTCCCTCCTTTTGAAGTGTGCACTGGCGCAATTACGCTACCGGCACATATCCTCAGAGCTCGAGAGCGAGACCAGCGCTTTGAGTGATTTCACGATGGATTCTCGGAGTGGCAGCGGTGTCCGTTTGCGTGGTTTTGGGGGAGTGAAGCTGCCAATGTCTGGGCCAGGGCGTTTGGGGTTGAGCTGCACAAGCTGTTGTTTTGCGAGCGAAGCTGGCAATGTTGACAATGTGAGCTGTGGTTCAGTACCAAGGTGGGTTTCACTAGGTTTCGCTCACTCACTCACTCACTCGCATCACTGTTAGTCATTGATGGGTCAATCAATCATCACGCCAGCTAGGGTAGCCAGGCTCTAAATCTATCAGGTGAATCTGGGCTATTTGATAGGGGGGGGTTCGCCACTCATCGAATTTATCGAGAGGAGGGGGTGGTTCAGGTTCGCACTTCCTCGAGTCTATCCGAAATTGCTTTTTATGGCCTTTACTTGAAACAAAAAGGGGGGGCGGGCTGCCGATAGACGTGCGGTCGTTGCGTTATACATCGCGGTCTGTAGGAGCTCGTGTTCTGTGAAGCGCGCGTGTTTCGGAGTCTGGATCGATCGCGGCCTCCGTGAGCGCATGTCTGGCGGAGGAGCTGGTAAGGGTAGTTGTGGGCGGTGAGTCTAGTCCATTTTGGCATCAATTCAGGCTAGCTTTCGTTGCCCCTCGGCCGTACCCCTCAACTCAAGTGTTTGGTTACTCGGTGCTCTTCAATCGCCCGCAGTGAGCGGCTGCTCCAGAAAGGTCAAGGACTCAAAGACATTTCAAGAGCTCTTACTTAGAGCAAGGCTTGCGGTCGGCAAGAGTTTCATAACCTGCCTTCCAAGCGTAAGCTTGAATGAAGCGGTAGCCTGAAGGTGTTTTCTGCCGCGTTGCCCTCCGATGCCCTCCTCACGCTCCCTCGCTGAATCATTGACCCAGGAAGAACTCACCCAATCATTCCAATCACCCAATCACCCTATCCAATCACGCCAATCACTCCAATCACCCCCATCACCCCTAATCACCTCCAATCACTCCGTCTCATTGCCCTTGACTTCAGGCAACGCCTCGCAGAAGTGAAGTTGTCACAGATCAACCCTTTCTTCGCCAAGCGAAAACGGCGGATTCGTCATGAGCTTGAGCGAGATGGACTCTATGATCGAGCTGCTTGCCTCAGAGACATTGCAATGAGCAAGCACGTGCCCAAACCAATTACTTGCGCATTGCAGTGTAGCCCTCTGATGCTGCAGCCGTCGCGCAATCTTGAAGGAAGCGTTGCCCTCGCCGTCGTTTGAGCTGCCGCGCCTGGTTCATCACCGTAGAGGACATCGACATCGCATCGTTGACGTTGCTGAAATGTAAGCAGTATGCCTCAGTCCGTGGTATTCCCTTGATCCCCTAAAACCCTAAACGCAGCACGAACCCCAGGGAACCCCAGGGGGGAGAGGGGAAACCCTGAACCCTGAACCTAAACCCTAATGTAGCCTTGAACCCTAAACCCTCAACCCACCATGAAGCAGGGAAGGGGAAGAGTGAAAACCACAAAGCCTAGTCATAAACCAACCCACCATGAACCACGGGGAGTGGGGAACCCTAAACCAAGAAAACCCTTAGCCTAACCTCTACATCCAAATGAACCACAGGGTTGGGCCTACAACCTTATCTTAAACCGCGCAATGAACCATTGGAGGGGGTGCGAACCCCAAACCCAAAAACCCCAAACCCACCCTGAACCACGGGGCGAGGTGCGTCGCCTGCTGCGTGGGCACAGTGGCGGGCTCTGCACACAGGCGGTAGCGCGCAATAGGGTGGGCAAGCGCTCCTTAAGATCTCGAAACTGCGCTTCCAGAAAGCAGCAGCCTAGCCTAGCATCGCCCATGAAAGGAGCGGGCCCGCAACCCGCTGTGCGCTGCTTCACGATTGTTTGAAGGCTTTGTCGTTGAGCTCTTTCACAAACAAGCAGAACTGGGAAAAGCAAATGGGCCATTGCCAGAGCGATTCAGCGTTTTGCAAAACAAGGCAGGCCCGTCCACACAGGCAAAAGAAGGGAGCGCAGCGGCCGGCACCCTCCAAGTGTGTGCGGAACCCACGAAGGAGGAACAAGATGGGTTGGTGTCTGAATTGACGTGGCAGAAGCATGACAATGTCATTCTAGTCATCTTCGAGATGTTTCCAGAGTGTGCCTGGTGATGTATTTTGTTTATACCGCATACCGCATCTGCGGGCTTGCCTACAGTTACACCAATGGTACAATTCGACAATTCATGCGAACGTTATGGCAAAGTAGATCACTACATGTAGATCTGGTGCAGATAAGCATGTCATTTTGGTATATTATGGTGGTGGCTGTGAGACAGCTGCTTCACGTTGCTGCTTCGTGATACGACGACGGAACGTTCGCAGCCGGCTGCCTCAAGATGCAGTCATCCAAATACCACCTTAGAGCTGAGCAGCCGCGGCTACGGGAACGATAAGGCACCGAGAGGGTTGACCAATGTTGACCACAGCAGGCACAGCATGTCGTTGTCTCGCCAGGTCATGGCTAGGTTGGTCTTCGTCATTTCCCTCGGCAGCGGCGTTTTGCGGCTGCTTGCTCTGGATAGAGCTTGGCATGCTGCGCTAGTTTCAGCTGGCTGCATTGCTGTTCAGGTCTTCCGCCATCGGATGCGGCCTTATGTTGTGCAGTTTTCGGCAAGGTCCAGATGTGAACATGCATGACTATCTTTGTGTCCGTTGAAGATCGACCGGGAGGGAATGCCTTTGAGGTTTCGATCGAGAGTGCAGTGGCTACGACGAGGAGTGGGCCGACGCCTGAACTGACCGTCATACATGAGCTTGCGCTGTCACAGGCTGTCACACGACTTGCTGCAACTAAGGGTCGATGCCCAGATCTGGCACATTGTAACGGCCCTTGTGTCCCACAAGATTGCCAATTTGGGTCTTGGCAGGACTGCTTTGTGGCATACTCGACAGAAATGCACCAGCAAGGTTTTAGAATTATATTGGTTTGTGCATGCTTTCACAAAATTTGAGGACTGGTATACATCTGGAGGATGTACTGGTCTAAGATATCGTCGTAGAGATGCAAGGGCCTTAGACTCCTTGCGTAAGTCCACACTGCCAGTGCCCCGCCAGTGCCTCCTCTGTGTGCCTTCAGGTTCGGACCGCGAACAATGAATGCGGTTATCCTTGTCGAGGGCCTGCAGTGCCTCTGTCTTGCATTGCATGATTTACTCAATTTAGTCTGTGCTGTCCATTGCGTAAGCAAGTAGTACATGAACACCCTTGAGTTTGTAATGTGAATGACTTCCTGCCAGAAAGCATGCTGTTGGACAGATCGCGATCTGGAGGTAGAATCTGCTCAGATGTCCAATGTCACACACTGCGAAGATTCCGATTGCAAATTTTCTGTGGAAGCCTCAGGATGTCACAAATGTCACTGTCACACGCTGTCACAAGTGCAAGATGCTGCAGGGCTCTTTCAGGGGCTCTTTCAGGCACTTTCATGCCTGGTTATTATTTTGAAACGAGGCCTGGTCTTCCTGGACTTCATGCAACTCGAGTCTTTGGCTTACACATCTTGCACTTTGCGCACTGTTTCCCCAGAGAACTTAGAAGGCAGCCTTGTGAACGTGGAAGGCTTTGACCAATCGACGCGGCACAGAGAGATTGAAGAGCCAGCAGGGCCTGACGGGCACGGAGCCCGGAGCCAGGCATGGAAGGCCTTGGTGTGGCTCACATAAATGCATTATAGCACATGATAACTTAACGCTTTACATGCGCTGTCGAAGAGGTCTGTCACAACACAGGATTCCACAGATAATGGGCCCCTGTGAGCCCTGTGGATGGCAGGACACCAGCAACACTTTGACCCATGTCGACATCGTTTCCAGCTTGCAACATGACCAGCCAACTAAGCGTGAATGAACGGCGCCTGGAAACCGGCTAAACGTACAGCTCGCATTAGCCTGCATCTCAAGCTAGCGGCAAACATTTCGTTTTGTTCACGACTTGAGTGCCTAGAATTCTTGCACGATGCCATTTTGACTTTTCTGGGGCCTTGCGTAAAGCCTTCAAAGCATGCTGAATGCAGAAGTCGATGTGAAGGCAGCACGAGCAAACGCACAAACCAACAGAAAGGACCGACACACACACACACAGAGACAGACACAGAGACAGACGCAAGACATGGGACTCTCGCGCCCTTCGGGGCGGCTCCCCTCTGGGGGGCCAAGCGTGTGGAGAGAGAGAGAGAGAGAGAGAGACAGACACAGACACAGACACACACAGACACAGACACAGACACACCACACTGCACAACACACGACACACGACACACGACACACGACACACGACACACGACACACGACACACGACACACGACACACGACACACGACACACGACACACGACACACGACACACGCTATATGACACACGACACACACGACACACACGACACCCGACACACGACACGCGACACACGACACACGACACCCGACACACGACACGCGACCCACGACACACGACGCACGGCACGCGATACACGACACACGACACACGACACGAGACACACGACACACGACACACGACACACAACACACGACACACGACACGAGACACGCGACACACGACACACGAGACACGACACGCGACACACGACACACAACAGACAACACTCAACACACAAGTCTCAACACCCAACACCCAACACCCTATGCACGACACAGGACACCCAATGCAAAACACAATACGCAATGCAACACACAACACACCACACACGACACACGACACACGACACACGACACACGACACACGACACCCGATACGCGACACGCGACACGCGACACGCGACACGCGGCACGCGGCACACGGCGCACGGCACACGGCACACGGCACAGAACCACAAAATGCAGCAGAGCACATAATGCAAAACAGAACTTAAAAGAAAGAGAACACCATCACGCAAAAGCAACGCAAAACACGTTACAAAACATAACACAAATCACAACACAAAACACAACACAACACGCAACACAAACACAACACAACACACAACACAACACATAACACAACACATAACACAACACGATAAACAACACGACACGAAACACGACACACAAACACGACACATACACACACACAACACGACACGCGACAAAACACACCACTTATAGCACAACCCAGCACACAACCCAGCGTACAACACAGCACACAACACGACACACGACAAAGCACACCAAACAGCACAGCGCAGCACACAACACAACACACAGCACAACACACAGCACAACACGCAGCACAACACCACGCAACACAACACAACACAACACCACGCAACACAACACAACGCAACACAACGCAGCGCAGCCCAGCCCAGCCCAGCGCAGCCCAGCCCAGCCCAACCCAAACACAGACGCAGACGCAGACACGGACACGGACACGGACACGGACACGGACACGGACACGGACACACACACACACACACACACAGAGCGACGCACACCGACACACACACACACAATAAAGGTGAATGAGGATTTGGTTCCAAAGGCACGCCAGACACCAGGAATGGCATACCTGCAAAACAGAATGAAGATGATGCGTAAGGCATATGCATACACGCGCGCGCGCGCGCGCGTGCGCGCGTGCGCGCACGCACGTACGCACGCATGCACGCACGAACGCACGCCCGCGCGCGCGGCACGCACGCACGCACGCGCACGCGCACGCACGCACGCACTCACGCACTCACGCACGCACGCACTCACGCACACGCACACACACGCACGCACGCACACACACCACACACACACACACACACACACACACACACACACACACACACACACACACACACACACACACACACACACACACACACACACACACACACACACACACACACACACACACACACACACACACACACACACACACACACACACACACACACACTACACACACTGCACACACACACACACACACACTGCACACACTACACACACTACACACACTACACACACCACACACACCACACACACGACACACACGACACACACGACACACACTACACACACACTACACACACTACACACACTACACACACTGCACACACTACACACACTACACACACTACACACACTACACACACTACACACGCACACACTACACACGCTACACACGCTACACACGCTACACACGCTACACACGCTACACACGCTACACACGCTACACACGCTACACACGCTACACACGCTACACACGCTACACACGCTACACACGCTACACACGCTACACACGCTACACACGCTACACACGCTACACACGCTACACACGCTGCACACGCTACACACGCTACACACGCTACACACGCTGCACACGCTACACACGCTACACACGCTACACACGCTACACACGCTACACACGCTACACACGCTACACACGCTACACACGCTACACACGCTACACACGCTACACACGCTACACACGCTACACACGCCACACACACACACACCCACGCACACACACACACACACACACTACACACACACACACACACACTACACACACACACACTACACACACACACACCTACACACACTACACACACTACACACACACTACACACACTACACACACTACACACACTACACACACTACACACACTACACACACTACACACACTACACACACTACACACACTACACACACTACACACACTACACACACTACACACACTACACACACTACACACACTACACACACTACACACACTACACACACTACACACACTACACACACTACACACACTACACACACTACACACACTACACACACTACACACACTACACACACTACACACACTACACACACTACACACACTACACACACACACAGACACACACACACACACACACACCCACACGCACAAGCACACGCACACGCACACGCACATGCACACGCACACGCACATGCACACGCACACGCGCATACACACGCACACGCACACGCACACGCACACGCGCGCAGCACACACCCTACACAAACTACACACACTACACACACTACACATACTATATACACTACACACACTACACATACTATATACACTACACACACCTACACAGTACATAAACTACACATATACTACACACTACACACACTACACACACTACACACTACACACACTACACACACACCACACACACTACACACACTACAGACACACTACACACTACACACACTCTACACACACTCTACACACACTGCACACACACTACACACTACACACACTCTACACACTACACACACACACTACACACACTACACACACACTACACACACACTACACACACTACACACACTACACACACTACACACACTACACACACTACACACACTACACACACTACACACACTACACACACTACACACACACTACACACACTACACACACTACACACACTACACACACTACACACACTACACACACTACACACACTACACACACTACACACACTACACACACTACCCACACTACACACACTACACACACTACACACACTACACACACTACACACACTACACACACTACACACACTACACACACTACACACACTACACACACTACACACACTACACACACTACACACACTACACACACTACACACACTACACACACTACACACACTACACACACTACACACACTACACACACTACACACACTACACACACTACACACACTACACACACTACACACACTACACACACTACACACACTACACACACTACACACACTACACACACTACACACACTACACACACTACACACACTACACACACACACACACACACTACACACACTACACACACTACACACACTACACACACTACACACACTACACACACTACACACACTACACACACTACACACACTACACACACTACACACACTACACACACTACACACACTACACACACTACACACACTACACACACTACACACACTACACACACTACCCACACTACACACACTACACACACTACACACACTACACACACTACACACACTACACACACTACACACACTACACACACTACACACACTACACACACTACACACACTACACACACTACACACACTACACACACTACACACACTACACACACTACACACACTACACACACTACACACACTACACACACTACACACACTACACACACTACACACACTACACACACTACACACACTACACACACTACACACACTACACACACTACACACACTACACACACTACACACACTACACACACTACACACACTACACACACTACACACACTACACACACTACACACACTACACACTACACACACTACACACACTACACACACTACACACACTACACACACTACACACACTACACACACTACACACACTACACACACTACACACACTACACACACTACACACACTACACACACTACACACACTACACACACTACACACACTACACACACTACACACACTACACACACTACACACACACACACACAAGCGCACACAACAGACAAACACACATCGGGTTTCAATCAGGATCTTTTGGATGACATTCCGAGATGACATTCCCAGCATTTATCGAAAGCCGATGTTGCCGTGCGTGTCGTGTTTCGACTTTTTTGCAAGCAGATGTTTCCACGCGCGGTTGGGTTGCCATCTATATATATATATGCACATATTCTATCCAAGCGTGAAACCTCGATCGGTCATGCTCTTCTTGGGGGGAATTTCGCGTCCATCCCCAAGCATCTCCCCTCCAGGAAGTGAGCACGTCCGCATGGACCAGCAGTGTAAACAAGTCATGCGAGGACTCGACTCACTACTCGACCGTACTGAGAGTGGTTTTGCAAGCTTCCCCTGGCCTCCATGCAGGCAGCCGTGAGGCGTCCCTGCAAGCGGTGCCCTGCCCAGAGCAAGCAGTCGGGCAGCCAGCATGCCACCTGTCGCATTTACACACATTACATCCCACCCACACACGCCACCCACACACGCAGGCCGCATGGACATACACGGATGCAGAAACACCACGAGAGCTGAAAGCTCGAGGCAATACGTCCTGCAATGCGCTACATCCTGCATGCGAGTCTGGCTTGCACAGACTTAGAGCTTCCCAAAAAAGCCTCTACAACGGTCATCCGTGCTGCAGCATTGTGGCCTGCGGCGGGCGGGGGATTTCCGGCATCCCGTATTGATGGCACGTGCAGTTTTCTTCAGCTAAGAAAGAGATACATCGGTACACAAGTCCTCATCTGAAAGGTCCCCTACTCCTTGCAAAAAAACCCATGGATAAACCCACACCAACGCGGATCTCTGTGATGTGGATGGCCATGGTTTTGGATCGATCTACGGTGCTTTGAAAGCATTGTGCAACACCGCTGTTCACTATCGGCTAACGTCCCCGACCTCCAAGATCTACCCGGTTGTAAGCAGTACAAGAAAAAAGGCGGCATGGCAAGAGCATGTTGGGGTACTCCCAGGCAGTACATCTAGATACTTTGGCCTGCAGATAGCCCTCGCCATGTTCGACCCTACACCCCTCAAGCCACATGCCAGACAAAGCATTATGTGCCTTCCTGTTGCAGCCAGAACTCCACCTCTGCAAAGAAATCCGTCGTGCAGTGAAAGCGGCCAATTTCCCTGTCGTGATCGCTGAGCGGCTCTCTGTACGGCAGCACAATGCTCGGGACGACCTCCCACTCAAGTTGAATCAGCTTCTGGCTTTTGCCGACCAATAGCTATCACGAGGTACATCATGTTTATAGTACCGTCGTCTTTTCCTCATTGTGGAATGTTGCGATCAGACGAAGACGAAAACCACAGGAAAACTCAAGGAAACAGTGCACATGACGGCCTGTGGTGATGGTAGGAATCGCACCATCTGGTTTGATGGTCCAAGCTGGCGACCTATGGCTTGAAGCTCTGCCAAATCCGACACTTCCAAGTCCGCAAGAAGTTGGATGATTGGCCAATCACGCAAGCCCTTGATTACCTCCGGCAGCGTTACACTGGAGGCCCATCCAGACAGCAGGGCTATGGCAAGCTGCACCAATTCCTCAACCTCTGCGAAGATTTCGCTCGCAGAAAGGATGTCACCAGATCGGAGCCGGATCTCCTGAGCCGCAGCAAGGAGGTTGCAAGCGCGCTGAGGCCCGTCAGATCCATGCAGGAGCTGCGCTAGCGAGCCTGACAGAGGTAAGGGTCGCCTCGTTCGGATCGCTTTCCAGAGTGCCGCTTGCAGTGGTGACCAATGGCTGAGCTCGATGAACTCATCCCAGATTACAGGCGACAGCTCGCTTGGCACACTCGACTGCTTGGATCTCCGACGCCCGGCCAATGCAAACAATCCAAAAAGTCCAAGGCGAGACGACAAGGTTTCCTTCAACGCCTGTGAGGTCATGATCTCCCTCGCCAGTCCTGCGAGCAGAGCCTCACCAAGACCCCGGGTGGTTTCTGTGTCTGCAATGGCAGAAGCATTCAGAAGTCGTACAGACCATGCTGCAGCCGGACAGCCCCTTGGGGGCACCTGGGGAAGCCATGAAGTTGCCTCCTGCAGCAAGTCGTCGCGTGCACGTCTAAAGAATTTCGCCCTGCGTGTTGTCAGTCGTCGCAGCTGGTAGCCTCGAGGCGTTCGGGAAGTTCAGGCTCTTGAATTTGGCATCGCAAGCATACAAAAGCGCACTGCGAGAAACATCAGCAACTGCAGTGACGTCAGTGCCACAAGTACTTGTTGCTGTTGCCATTCTCCTTTGCTGGCTGTTGTCTTGGCTAGCATTGCCACTGTCGTTGAATTAGATAGACTTCGATGCAGTCCAATAGCTTCAATTACACAGAAAGATGGCAGGGAACTTGACAATTCCCTATGAGCAGCTGTTGCTAATGTTCTGCAAGGCCATGCGCGCCTTTGTCGCCCAGTGCCCACTCCCGGCACGCAGGCGGCGTAGCTCCGGGCCATCTCTTAGCCAAGCTTTCGGCAGTCTCCCCCGGCACCTCCCCAAAAGAGAACTTGGGCAATGGCATGTACAGTAGCTGCGCTGGCACAAACACTCCGGTGACACTCTGTTCCTCTCATGAAGGGCTCTAGGGCCAGGTTCGGCTCCCACTGAATCTTCATGCTTTGGTGCTCAGTCGACGAGCCTGCACAAAGGCCCCCACGGCAACTTGGATCAGTGCCAGACCCAAAGGCAGAGAAGCCATACGGCAGTGACATGTACAGGCTCTGCATCATCAGGCAGGATCAGGTGCGGTGGTGCGAACAGGTGGCGCTAAGCATCGACTGCGTTGGTTGTATGGCCAGTGATGGCTACTGTTTTGCTTCAACACCAATGTCATGATCTTTTGAACTGAAAAGGCAGGTCGGACAACACCTCCCAAATCTGCACTGTAGATCCCATGACTTCTGATATGGTTTTGCCCTTCTGCTTCAAGCCTCAATAAACGGCCAACGACAACTTTACTGCTACTTCAGGCCGCGGGGACTTGTACTCTCCGAGGCGAAATCCTAGTAACCCTCAGTCGATTCAATGTTCGCCCTTTGCATTCCATAAGGGAACCTTGGGAAACCTCTATTTCACTAACAAGTGATTGAAAGCAAAGCTCGGAAAACTTCCGTTTCCTGACCTCTGCTTCCTTTCCCCATACACCAATCCAGAATCCAGAGTTTCTGGTTTTAGCTCCGGAACTGATTTGGTTTTTTGGGGGAGATTTTTGCCTTGGTTGGGGGAGTTGCGGGCCGCCCTCACGGGGGACTTGCGGGGTGTGACGGCGGGGTGAGGGGGGAGGAGTTTCGTCGCAGTCACTCCAGGGGTGCTCGGTGGGATGCTCCAGGGGTGGTGGAGTCCCTGGGCGGGATCTTCTGGGTGTGTTGCAGTAATACTCAGCAATACATTGCAGGATACATATTTTGGGGTATTCTTTGGGGGGCCCGGAAAGAAGCTGAGTTGAAATCTAACGACCACACGCCGAGGAAGGAACAAAGAGAAATTCCCATAAGTGCACAAAACTAAGACCGCACGAAAGCAGACCCTCCTTGCAAAACCTGGCAAGCTACAGCGCTACAGCCAGAAAGAGGGTTACCTTAGTCCTCGATTAGGTGGCGCCCCTATGTTGTTGGAGTGGGTTGATGTGCCGTCTTACGTGTTTGTCAGAGGACCTCGGGGGGGGGGGGGGGGGGGGGCTGTGGCTTCATGAATGCTTGGATTCTAGCCCTTCAGCTTGCTCCAGGTTGCTCATGATTTTCGGTTAAGGGTTTAGGGTTTAGGGTTAGGGTTTAGGGCAAAAGGCGACTGTATCGAAGGGGGAGCCATCATCTGCGTCATGCATGTGCAAGCAATCCTGCTCGACCCGACTTGTTCAAGCACCGCTCTGACTCTCTGTGGTAGTTGCGAAACATACTGTACCACGCCAGTGCATCTGGCTTCATGTGAATTTGCTAGGGCCTACGGTCTTGCACTATGGCTACCCAAGCGCCACTTAAGGCATCGTCAGGTCACCTTGGCGACCTTGTCATGGCTTCTTGTTGCGACTGCGGAGCATGACATGCCCGAAGTGTTGCAAACACCACTTTCGGCATATTGTTTAGGGTTTAGGGTTTAGGGTTTAGGGTTTAGGGTTTAGGGTTTAGGGTTTAGGGTTTAGGGTTTAGGGTTTAGGGTTTAGGGTTTAGGGTTTAGGGTTTAGGGTTTAGGGGTATGTTGCCAGGTCACGTCACAGCCTTGCCCACAAAACCGACAGAACTTCGCATCAGCAATCAGCTCGTTATTGCAGTTCGAGCATCGTCTGACCTTCAAGCGACAGTGCCAAAGCTCACTTTGGCTCTGGAGCTAGAAGCTAGAAACTGCTGCTCTGACTACTGCTCTGATCATGATAGAGTGGAAGGACTGCAATGCAAGCAATCACGGACCCTCTTTGAAGCGCTGGATATGCAGATGTTGACACTACAGGTTCACCACGTGAGGGAGCACACAGGGGCAGCACCGTGGCAGATAGTACAGATGCTACACGGCTTCAGCACTGCTATTGCCACCGATTCCAATTCTGAAATGACCGTCATCGCGGTGCTCTACCAGTGCTCCCACACTGGCCAGGCTCATCTGCGCAAGCGCGGTGACACTGCTGAGATGCTTAGGTGCGACTGCCGAATCCGAAGGCGCCAGCCACCCTTGCAGCACGTGCCACTCCATCCGCCCACTCACCTACGCTACAAGATGTTACAATGACGAGCTGCCTGGACCACACAGACACGGGCGACGGCGAAGCGGGTGACCTCCTTGCGAGACCACCCAAAAGCAATGCGACACAAAGTTGACATAACGCGTCTCTCACAACCCCCCGGTGCCTGGCTGAGGAAAAGACCTCGGCGGTTACACAACTGTCGCTTCCATGACCTTTGTGAGCTTCTTAATCTTCCAATCTTGTGTCTTGTGTCATGGACTCGGTCGTGCACTTGAAAGAGGCTCCTTTTGGAGGAAGAAGGTGCATCTGCGCACTGTAATTGGGAGCTTGTGTAAGAACATCAATCAGTCCAAGTCTTGCCATTCCCGCGCCTGGAGGTCGTGTCGAAGCCTAGGTTGCAGAGGTTGTGATATGCTGTGATCGAAACCTGCGAGCTTCCATGTGCTTCCAATCCCTTCTTCGCTGATCTTCGCTGGCTCCGTGAAACCCCGTGTGGCTCTGTCGCGACATGCTGCGCTCAGCCATGAGCCTGTGCATGACGCGTCTCTGCTTCACGCTTGGCCTTGCGTACCTTGCCAGGATTGGCCAGGACTCCTGAAACGCACGAAAGCAGATATTGGCGGCATTGACAATGCGCCTCCTCAGCGGCATCGAAAAGGACCATCTGTGCCGAGGCCGGGCAGTTCAGGTTGTAGTCCCGAACTCGCTTGTTCAGCTTGGCAATCTCGTGCCGAAATCGGTCCTAGCATGCAATGTGGGATCATGTGGGCTTGCAGCATGACCGCTGCGCACACTCTAGCGTATTGCTGCTTTCACTACTTCTACACATTTCTACTGTCATTACACTCCCTCGGCCTTCTGTGTCACGAAGGCTGCAGTTGGGTTGAAATTGCTGGCCCTCCAGGCATCAGCCAGTGTCCTGCATTCATGCAGCAGACTGCAGCAGCGTAGCAGCCGCTGCCTTATGCGCAAGCCGCCACCACGGCCGCACCCTATCGCACGATGCCCTGCCAGCCTAGCCTGCCAAAGTGCTCCACGTCGCGGTGGATTCGCTTTTGCTGCTCGATCCACTCCTACACTGGAGATGAAGTGCAAAGTGTGAGAAGCCTTCAGCAAGTTGACACAGTTCTACTATTCTTCAAAAGAACCCAAAAAACATTCCTAAAATTCCCTATTTTGCCCGGAAAGCTGAAAAGGAATTATATTTTCCATTTCTGAGGGGGGGGGTTGAAAAGCAAAAGTGGAGTTGATGTCAAGGCTCCGGAGCATAGCCATGCTTCTGCAGTAAGCCATAGCCAATTCGATCAGCAGGATCCTGCCACTTCGAACAGTTCGCGATGCCATGCGCTGGCTTGCGCCACACTTGCCACAGTCCAAATACGGGTTCTCAGCACCCAGGAGGCTCTTCAGCGGCTTTCCTTTGCCTGCAGGTGGTGCGGGGATGCAACCAGGGCGATGCTAGCATCCGCTGGTGCACTTCAGAATGCTTTCGGAAAAGTCACAAGATGGGCATTTCCCAAAATAGGGGTGCCCCTTTTGTACCCCAAGCAGAATAGAATCCCCTTCAAGGGAGCTCCAAAAAGGGTACCCCTATTTTCGTAAAGCCCCAGATGGCACAAGTGGGTGGCCTTCCAAGTTCTCAAACTCGCCTTCGGCCTGTGCGATACTGATTGCCTCCTCCACCTCTTGCTCAATCTCTGCCAAGTCACCTTTTCTGCTCTTCTTCGGTGGTGAACTGAAAGACACTCAAACCATCTGAGCGGCGATCGTCGTTGGCTGCCCTAGGCTGAAGCAATCGTTTGTCACGGAGCCCTAGCGCAGCACATAACTTCTGCATTCCCTGCGACGGGTCAGTCAGATGAGCACATGCCTCTCTTTAGCTAGTTTCGCTTGTTAAGGTCTGGACGGCTCACTTCTGCCAGCACGATAATCGGCAGCTAACACAACGCTTTTCTGTAGGCGATTCCTGGCGGGTTCGCTTCAAGGCTAGTCCATGGATCGCTAAGCCCGTCAACGCCGATCCTTGACGCACTCCTCTCTCGTTGGAAAACAGTTCGGCCATCAGCGCCATCAGCAGTCAGAAACTGGCGCTCGGCAATGTTTGAACGCTTCACCTGAACTGCTGGGCGCGTGATTCGTCTCAACCGTCTCAACGGTCCCACAGCTCCCTGAACACCTCCCTGCGCACTTTGCCCGGCCTGCTTGGTTCCATCCTGCAACTTTTTTGTGGGTCATTGTCAATGTTGTAGGTCCGGCTTGAAGCGCACCCTGTTTAATTGATTTCAACTTTGGGAGCTGTCCAGCTGAGAATGCGGCTCCCTGTTGAATTGACAGTCAAGTTTGCTTCTTGTAGGCAGCTTTGCTTATTCACTCGAGGCCTCGGGCCGAAGGTGTATGGGTTGTGAGAACAGGCACCCCCCACCAAATCCTCCCCCCAAGCCCAAAGTCGCACGTCGGCCCCCTTTTTTTGCCTGGAATGGGTAATTACTCTGCGTAGTCCTGCTCCCCCCCCCCTGCCGGCCTCCCCCCCCTCCCCGCCCCGCCCCTGCCCCCTGCCCCCCTGCCCCGCTCCCCCTTGCCTTTTGCAACTGGTGTGAGCGTTAGGTTACGAATCCTGTCCAAGCCGAACCGTCTAAACCCTGTGCTCTTTCTCTTTCTCTTTATCTTTCCCTTTCTCTTTCTCTTTTTCATTTTTTTTCTTTCTCTTTCTCTTTTTCATTTTCATCTGTTTCTTTCTCTTTCTCATTTGCATCTACTTGTTGATTACTTACTTTCTCTTTTTCATTTTCATATTTTTCTTTCTCTTTTTCATTTCAGTTTTCTTTCTCTTTATCTGTTCATTTTCACTTGAACTCTAAACCCAAAGGCCCTGCCCCAAGCCCTCAACCCTAAACTAACCCTCAACCCTCAACCCTCAACCCTAAACCCAAACCCTAAACCATAAACCCGAACCCTAAACCCTAACCCTAAACCCTAAACCCTAAACCCTAAACCCTAAACCCTAAACCCTAAACCCTAAACCCTAAACCCTAAACCCTAAACCCTAAATCCTAAATCCTAAACCCCTAAACCCTAAACCCTAAACCCTAAACCCAACCCTTTTTGCTTGGGGTCCAGCGACTTGAGCGCTGCGGAGAATCACCATGCTCACGCGGATGCGCTGGGCCGAGCCGAGGCGGGTCGCGTAGCGTTATAAGTTATTATTACTCTTATTATTGTTATTATCTCTACTGGTCTTATTATGAGTGTGGTGAACGAGTGAGCTTGCGAATGATTGAACGAAACGTGTGAGTGAACAAAGAAGTGAAGGAAAAGGAGAACGGAAAAAGACAAAAACATATGCTTTCTAAACCCTAAACCCTAAACCCAACCCTTTTTGCTTGGGGTCCAGCGACTTGAGCGCTGCGGAGAATCACCATGCTCACGCGGATGCGCTGGGCCGAGCCGAGGCGGGTCGCGTAGCGTTATAAGTTATTATTACTCTTATTATTGTTATTATCTCTACTGGTCTTATTATGAGTGTGGTGAACGAGTGAGCTTGCGAATGATTGAACGAAACGTGTGAGTGAACAAAGAAGTGAAGGAAAAGGAGAACGGAAAAAGACAAAAACATATGCTTTCTGGGTCTAGTTTATAAGGCTTATGGACGGTTTTCTCCTTGTCACCTAAATTCCAACCTTAATGCTTCCTTTCCCAAAGTCTTGCATCACCATGAAAGACTGAATGGAAAGTCCTCCACGCCCAGCATCGAATTCGAGGCCGTGTTGGGCTGGACTCTGCGTCGCAGCCCGGCGCTGTCGAGAGTGCGTTTTTGCTTTATGCTCCTTGCAGCCTCAGGGCAAAGCAACGGTGGAACGGAAACTTGCATCTCACATCTGCAAGAGGAACCATGTACAGCGACCGGGGCGAAAATCCTTGCAGCAACACCTGAAGCCACCTAGGGGTGTGGGCGGTTTGAAGTCTCTATTCCCCTCTTTTCTAGCTGAGCGGCACCATGCTGCATCATTTGTAGCGTGCCAACCCGCATGCCGGCCAAGTCTTCATCATCCTACACTCATTGAAGCGGGCATTGCTGCATCACGGCCCGGCTGAAGGTGACTCACAAGCCTCTGGACAAGCCGCAGCTGTCGATGCACTGCTTTCGTGCCGCCTCGGGCCGCCACTGCCACTGTAGCAGTGAAGCATTACATATGACTGCATCTCGAAACTCGAAGAAACAGACAAACTTCGTCCTTCTGTCAAAGCTGCAAGCTTGGCTCAGAGTCGATGGAATCACCTTCGAACCGGCAGGCGCCTTCTTGCTTCCCCTCAGGCGTCTCACCTCTAGATCAGGCCTCCATCAGGGCCGGAGACCGAGGTCTTCGAGGCAAAAGCGCGCTCCCGACCTCTGCAGGACTCTGCAGACTGTAGACCAAGCCTGTGCATGCACTTGCCCCTGCCTCGAAGATACGGTCCGATCGGCTTTAGCTTGAGCCCTGGGTTGTTTGCATTTGCACGTCCACGTCCACATACATCGACGGCGAGAGCAGAGTCTGGGAGCCGGACGAGCAAACCCAGATGCCCGGAGCCAAGAATACATGGCCCAAGATGGCTAAGTGCATGTTCTTGATTCTTGCAACAATGTTGATGAGTCCAGCTCAAGGTTCGGGGATGTTCGGGGCATATCCTGGCCAGTCATGTGTGAGTCGTCATGTTGCATGGGACAAGAGCATGCTGCCAAGCTGTGAATGCTGACAAGATTTGACAAGCCCTCCTCCGCAGCTATTGTCATAGACATGCTTCTCATGGGCACTGTGCGGACTCGTTGCAGACATCAAGCCAAAGACCACTGGCTGGCCATGCACCACGAAGCGAGCAAGGCCTCTGCTTGCGCGCCAAACGTTGCAATGAACTCTGTCGGTCGAACATAGCCCTGCGGAGATCATGGAGGCAAGTCAGGGCTCCCTGGCATTCTATCCTTCGACCTGTTTCTCACCTGGCCTTTGCGGGGCCTGTACAGAGAGTCACTCTTGGGCCTTGGAGTCTCCGCAGCACATCGCATTTTGAGGCACGAGTGCACTGCACATGTCAATGTAAGAACTGCTAGACATTCTCGCACGTGTGCAGGGCTCTGGCTGCTGGGTGGCTTGCCCTGAAGAACAGCCTGGCAAGCCGCCGTCATGTTTCCACAGCTTTGGGGGCTTCGAGGTGTCGAGCGAGGGTTGCTGGGCGCAACATTTCAGAATGCCTGCTCTTGCTTCGAAACACCCACGAACGACTTAGCAAGGTTGCGAGATGCTACAATATGGGCTCAGAATGATTCAGATCATTCAGAGCCTGGTGTCTTGACGTACGTAATTTCGCGAGCCCATTACGGGCTTAGCGACCCAAGTGGTCACACAGTCACCTCCTTTTGTCACTGCGAAGGGAACTGTTTCCTCCGCGGTCCCTTGTATAACTTCCTCAGACGAGTGAAGTATTGGCCTGTGCTGTGAGATGTTGTGAGCCGGGTCGAGCCCACGGCTGCCCTCCGCCCCGAATCGCAAGACTCGCAGGACCGCATGCATGCTGAATCGCAGCACCGAAGTCCACATATGAGACGACACATTGGCCTATGAAGGTAAACATCACAGCAAAAATACTGCCACAGCCATGTCCCACCTCTGGCTGCAAGCAGTCGGGTATCCCGTCATTGTTCAGGTCAGCACCAGAAACAAGGATGTCAGCTTTACCTGGACAAGACAAAGGACATGGCGTTCATCAACTAACCAAGGCACCACCCTCTTCCAATCCCGGGCAGCACATGTAAAATTGCAGCGCAAGCATTCGTAACATCTCGCAACAGGGCAAAATCTTCTAGCCTTCTGCGTGGCTTGGCAACTCTACTTTCAGGGCAGCTGTCCAGCAGGCGCGCTTCTACTACTGTGGATGGACAAAATCTTGCACCGCCTGGCATGAAAGTCGTTTCATGATTCCCCGCACCCCCTTTTGAGCATTGGCTGCGAAAGCCACGGACCGGAATTGTTCCAATGGCCGAAATCTTGCACCGCTCGAAAAGTCGTAGCTATCAATGTTTCGAAGGGGGTGCGGGGCTTGATGCCTCAATCGTTTGAAGCATGCGTGTAACCGGTGGTGCAAGATTTCGTCCATCCACCGTATTGTTGCTGATTTTGTCAGATTGATGGAAGATAAACGACTACTTCGAGCAGGAGGGGCGGGAGACGACGATTCGTCTCTCATCGACTGATTAGTAAGACTCTGGCCGCTTGCATCTACACCTCCTGTCCAGTTCAGCAGCAATGTTTTCTGGCATATCATCGCAGCTTGATGCCGATGAAACATGCTGAAACGCAGGAACAAGAGGCTCGATGAAGAAGTGAGCATGAAGCCGGAAGAAGGGGAGAGGGCAAAGGTGCTAAAAGAGTGTTCATGAAGGCAACTCAACTCCTCAGGGCCAGTCTGATCGTGCTAGGAGCGACTCGACTTGACGTTCTCTCGACACGTCGTGATTCTACTGAAGGCTCGCTGTGTCGTTTTAGGGAAGCCGATGAAAGGCCGTGCGTGCACATGTGTGCAACGAAGGGCACGAAGAAAGACATGTGGAAGAACGCGGAAAACAATGTCAATACAAATGAGTGCTGCAAAACAACAACAGGAATCTGGAGTCTACAGACTTTGACTACTCAACGACTCAGTGTCATATTCCAGCTAGTGCAACCACAACCCATGATTTTCTGGATCGAGTTGAAGCATCGCGGCCTCTGAGGCACGAAGCCCGAAAAAGGCTATGCACAAATGATACCAATCAAATGATACCAATCTAGAAGCGCCACCAACAAGGTAGACCAAGCCTCCCTTTCCTGCCATGCACTCATGTGCACAGCTAAAACTACACAAGTCTTCGGATCGATGCTCTTGTACAAACTTCCAGCATGGGCCATTATACCCTAAACCCCCTTAAACAGGCCCTTTATAGGGTTCTAGTATACCCTCTAACCCCTTCACAAAAAGGCGCTTTATAGGGTTACTTGTGGGAAAGTTATAGGGCCCAATAGCCCATCCTGCTTTGTGACCAAGGCCATGGCCGTCCCTGTTCAGATCGATGCCCACCTGGGGGGTAAGAGAAGACTCAGCCTAGAGGAGACCAAACAAGCAAATGCGAACATGGGGGTTCGGGTTTAGGGTTTAGGGCTTAGGGCTTAGGGTTTAGGGTTCAGGGTTCAGGGCTCAGGGTTCAGGGTTCAGCGCTTAGGGCTTAAGGTTTAGACTTTCTGAGCTCTATCTTCGACTGTCGCCCCGCAGAGACCAGACCAAACCAGACCGGGACCCCTCTTCGTCGTTTCCGGGGGCTGCGGTTTTGGCCCGGAGCCCCCCTCAATCGCGCACCACCGCTCAGTTGATGCCCAGACAGTTTTGTTAGCAGGGGATAGGGGTACTATCGCGTCTGCTTACACATGCGCGAACCTTCACACTTCATGCTTGCTTTTGTTATGAACACTATGCTCATGATGCGGTTTGGAAAGCTCAAAAGCTCGCAGACCCCCCACCCCTCCCCATTTGCACATGGAATGCTCAACAGCCCACAGCCACCCCCCCCCCACCCATGTGTAAACAATGATGGGGTTTGGAAAGCATACGGCTGAAGAAAAACACGAGGGAATTGGAGGTAGGGCCCCCCCCCACCCACCCAAACACAATGCTCGCATGATGGGGTCCAACCATCCTCCCCCCCCCCCCCCCCCCCCCCCCCCCCCCCCACATTTGCTAGCAGAATCTCGCATGATGGGCTCGCACGATCGGGGTTCATCCAGCCTCCCCCCCCCCCCCCTGCAAACAGAATGCTCGCATGATGCGGTTGTAAACGATCTACGTCCTGAAGCGAGCTTTGCTTTGCTCAGCTTTGGAAAGCGCAGGTTGGGGGGCGCAAGCCCTTACAGACCGACGGGCCCTTGACCGAACGGGACCTACTAGCACCGGGTTCGCGCTTCGCGGATGGGTCGGTGGCTCACCAAAACCAACAGCAAAAAAACTACACAAAAACAAAACAAAAACAAACCTGACCCTGAATTCTGTGCCCCCAGCTGTGGCTGTCGGTGCATAGCCAGGGTTCTGCGCAGAGCATGACATGACGGCATTGCATCAGCTGGGGCACACCGAGCTGCTTAAGACTCTTCCAGGCCCCACACCACGGAAGAGGCTGCATGCCCTCCAGGCATATCGTAGGAGTAGATGACCCGTGACCTCCAGCGCGGCAACATAATCAGAACGCTGCAATCCACCATCCTTCGCAACTTTTTACAATATTTCAATATTTCACACAGTGCCCGAGCCACAAGCCGATCATCAGGGCCCTCATTGCGACGGCCTGGCTACCGGATTCCCAGGACTTGAGCGCTACAGCACTTTGATAGCTCTGAACCATCGAAGCCCACTTTCAGAACAAGGCGTCGTAGAGTCATCAGACAGCACTCCAGATTCCCAAGTCATAGCTGCACTCACCATTAAGGCAAAGGCAATCAGTCACCACCTGCCACCGACATGACACTCCTGCAGATTAAATTAGCCGTTTCCCACGTCAGCAAGCACATGCTATCGGAGCCTGCGACGTGGCGGCTGGTGGAGCAGCCAATGACGTCAGTGGTGTAGCTGGTGGAGCGGCCACAGTTTGGTACGAATACACTATGCGAGGCTGCCTTGGATGTCTGCATGTCACCAGCTTTTGCCATCTGCACTCACACATGCATGAGACTCTCATGAGACATCCAAGAGGGCGACTGCTGCACAGGCTGGGTGTAGGTGTTCGCCTGAACCAGCCTCGCTGGTGACACAGTTCGGACCTGGCAGTCTCAGGACGCCTCCCAGACCACTGATATCGCACACCTGTCCAACATAGTACACACCTGCCTCTGCTGCAAGCGAAGACCTCGCACGGGTGAGATGCTGGTGTCTGGTGCCAGCTGTAAGATCTGATCTGCCTGGGAGATGCAACTGCAGCCTGAACAGGGACGCTGACACGAAGTGCTGACACAAGTCTTCCACCAAGTCTTTCGCACCATCCTAAAACACACTACTCATCACTAATCTCACTAACAGCAATCGCAGTTCGAGACAAGCCGGCCTCTGGCCGAGCACCTGCATGAATTAAAACTGCCAATGCGCCGTGCTTTGACTTTTTTGCATGGTTTTGGCATGGCCATGTTGCCACCTGGAACTTTGAGCTCCGCTCGAAGGCCATCAAGCTGTCCACGAAGCTGACATGAGGAGAGGCGAGGCGAGGACATGCCAGGAGGGTCGGGAGCACTGCCCATGGAGGAATTAGCGGCGAGGATTCATGCCCCAGAATGCTTTGGCTCAGTACGGGCCTTCTCCAAGGTCTCTTCTGTCGTCGTGGCAGGCCTATGCAACCATGCGAAAACGCATGACAGCGTTTAAGAGTACATGTGGGCGCAGTGGCTTATCACTGTCTCAAGATGTGTCTTGGGCTCATCACCCTGGGCCGCTGCTCAGGTACTCCACCTGCGGCTCAGGCTTTGCTTCGACCGACCTTTACATGGGCCCGTGCCTCGCCTGAGGCGCCTGAGGCACCTTCTTGTCGAATCTTGCTTCCAGCGCCTGCTTCGCTCTCGGAACATGCAATTCTTGCCAGATGTCCACACACATCCGTCACTCCTGAAGTCGCTTGAGAGACGCGTTTGTCGGCCCCTCCTGTGTCTGAAGCGAAGTTGAAACCAAGGCAACATGCGATGCAATGAGATTGTCCCATGGTGCAAGGCATGGCAAGGCTCTCCTCCCTTGTAGGTGAATCGTTCCTGAGAGCAAAGCGAGCACAGCGAGCTTATGCCAGCGCGAATGGGGAAGGGCCTCTTCAAGGGGCTGTCTGCAATCAACCCAGAGGTTGCTGGAGAGGATCCTCTGGCGATGCCACAGATGTCTGACTAGAAACTGGATGCAGTTGTCCCTGTGGCCTTTGGTTGCGGAGCTTCTAACCTGTCTGTGCAGTCTCTGGCCCCACCAGCTTCAGCTGGGAGCTGAGTTTACAGCAGGCTCATCAGACTCTCATCAGCACAAAGACGGCCTGCTCCTCCAACCACACGAAGGCCTGACGGACAGGACACGAGGTGTGCGACATGAGGACAGGAAGCACAGCCAGCATGAGCCAGCTTGGGCCTACCTCAATTCGCGCATTGCGCTCCGCAGACAAGGCTTGAGAAATAGCATCTAGACCTGGGAAGCGCAGCAGGTCATGGAGCTGGTGAGGGCCAAAGCCACTTGATCATGGAAGGGCCGGCACGCTTGTCTAAACGAGTGGTCTGCTTCTCATACTCTGATATGCGAGCCTCACCCAGACATCCACCGTGCGCAGAGCTCTCAAGCTTCCTGCATGCAGCCTGTGACTCAGCGATGTGGTGCTTGATTTTGAAGCCTTCTGCTTTGCAGCGGCCCTGCAACACAGGAGTACACAGTGGCATGCCATGTCATGAGCCCTAAGAAACCCACCAAACGGCGCTTTGCACAGTGGATAAACTTCGGATGAACACGTTGGATTGTGATCCTCGCACTCACTGCACCGGAGCCTCAATCTCAGTCTCGTGGCGTGACAGCTCACTTCGCAGCTGCTCAGCATCTTTCCTGAAGGAAATGCCAATGGAAAGCATCAATTCATTGCAAACAAAAGCACCTGGAAGGTCTTCGACAAAACTCTGCTGAGATCGGCACCCAATCACTCCCAACACCTCGCGCAAGCCAGCCTCGGTGGTGCTGAATTTCACACATTCTGACCGTTAATGATACCAATGAGGACTGCTGAGTTGTTCTCTGCTAGTCTATGTTCGTCTCAGAGCACCATTGCACACCTCTCCCAGACCCTCACTCGGATACAAGTGAGGCTTGCAAGGCTGGCTCGAGGCTGGCGCTGCGCGGTGCTCAGATTCGTGCACCACCAGTTCCTGCTCTCGATACATGTAGCTGCCATTTGCTAGGAGAAAAAAGGCTCACTCGAATTTTTTGCAACTACCAGATATACTACAGATATAGCAGAGATGTAGCACAACAAACTCAACAAAACTTGAGAGCCACGGGCTGGGACGAAAGCTCTAGTAGGTCCAGGACTGGGGACACGGAGCTTGCAGGAAGAGAGAGGCGCCGAGAGATCAAAGCGCCGACCCAAATCATGTGGCAAAGTCAAAGTTTAAAGCGAAGCGGTGCTTCAAGCGAGGCACCATGTACAAAAGTAACACAAAGTTACAGGAAGTATAGGGAGGAGGACCCACCCAAACTGAAGAGGTGCTTCCAGATTGACCGCAGCTATTAGCCCAAAACAGGCCCCCTTGGCACCGCACCCAGGCCAGCATCAGCAGCATCAGGGAGGCCCCGCTTCTCCGTCGAACGTCTGAGAAAACACCTACCAAAGTAACCCAAAGCTAGCCCAAAACAGGCCCCCTTGGCACCACACCCGGGCCAGCATCAGCAGCATCAGGGGGGCCCCGCTTCCCCTTAGAACGTCTCAGGAAAACCCCTACCAAAGAACCCCAAATCTAGCTCAAAACAGGCCCCCTTGGCAACGATGGTTTTCCCGGCACCAGACCGGGGATAGCCGACCACCGAAATTGGTCCACCCCCCCGCCCCCCCCCCGCACCCCCCCCCGATAACCCCAGGCTCACTTCGTGAGGTATTGAACAAAGCTCCCACAGGGGGGAGCTTTCGTGAATAGCAGTAACACCAACTATCGGCCATGTCCTGAAGCTCTCGCAAAGCCTTCCAGATTTCGTCCTCCGAGACTATTCTTCTGTGGAACACATTCTTCTCGGCTTTTCACTGGGTTTTTCCTACTTCCTTTGTTTTTTTTGGCACCATCTGCGATGCTTCGACTCATGTGATGTTTTTGTTTGGTGTTTTCCGCGCCTGTCCCTCCCGGGTCGAAGCCGGACTCTTCAGCTCTCGATCTCGACGGCGCTCGGGGTCATGGACGCTGCGCCTGGAAGTCTCGAAACGGTCCGACACCTCCACGAGGTCCTTTCTGGCGGAGCTGAGGGCCTGCAAAGGACCAACCCTAAACTGAGGCCCTAAACCCTAAACCCTAAATCTAATCGGTGGCCGCGCACGCTTCTTAGCTTTCGCGCATGACTCGCGACAATCGCGCTTCTAACTCCCGGATGTTGAATTTGCGCTCGGAAAGTTTTTTCGTGAAACAACACCACCGAATGCTGGTTTGTGCTGGTTTGGATGAGGCTGTGAAGCTTTGGATCAGGTCTTGGGATTCCTGGGGTGGTCTCACGCCAGCAGTGGAATGGTTTTGGTTAAGGCTTCCGAACATCTGAAGTCAGAACTGCATATAGATGCTGAAGGGCCAAGGCTGTCAAATCCGTGTAAACCGCGGGTAACGATATTCGTGTGTCTAAGGCTCAGGACTCGCCGCCCTGCTGCCCTGGGGTTTTGTAACCTTCACTAAGGCTGCGTTGAATTGATGCTGCATTGACGCTGCGTGTGATTTCGAAGCATTGGGGGTCTATGTTTTTTTCCGCGGAGGTGTGGGACACTGGGCGCGAGCAGCGGGTCGTGAAGCAAAGCAGCTTACTTGTCAGACCTTCGACAATTAGGATTAAATCTCCACAAATGACACCGCTTTCTTGATGCATAAAATGGCACGGCAACAAACTGTTGAAATGCCTACCGGGCGGTGGTGTTAACCCAAGCGGTGCGAAGTCGGCATTCCGCAGGGGCACGCCTCGATGCGCGTGAAGTCGGCCCATCCGCAAGAAGCCGACCGACAGACGTGCAATCCACAAGTGCGCTGGGCTTTAAGGAGCACGTCCCCATGTACAAAATCGGTATGCGATGCGAAACTGAAGCGAAAAGGCACGGAAGCAAGTGGAAAACTGTTGGAAACTGCAAGTGCACGCCGGGCTTTGCGCAGCACAACCACGATGCGCATACCGAAGCTTGATCTTCGAAGCACGATGCAGAGAAAAAAGTGACAGCACACAAAACGAACGGCGCTTGAAATGGGATTCTGCAAAGACACGCTGCGTCACATGCAGGAAGTGCAGAATGGAACAGTTGAATACCGCGCCTTGTGCGACACATGCGTTCCCAACCTCGAAAAACAAGAGCTGCAAAAACAGCTCCCCAAGGTCAGGCTGTGGCGGGACACAGAATATGATGAAATGTAATTTCTTTAAATGTGGTGATTCAGGATCCAAAAATTTTGCTTTTGGTACATTATTTACATGAATTGTTTAATCTGAATGTTTGTGTTGAAGTCAAACATGCTGAAATATGCATAATGTGTACCCTGTCAGTCCGACAACACATAGCCTCTACGTGTAGATCCCCAAGGTCACGCTGTCGCAGGTCGACTTTGCACAATGCGGGCCGACCTCAGCCGCGTACCCAGTACCCCATTCCCCCCCCCCCCCCAATTTACAACTTTCTTAAACTCGAAAAATCACACGGTCAAGAAAAGAAAAACACGGCATCAACCTCCTCCTCCTTCGACGACGACTGCCAACTACTGCGACTAGGACCACGGGAGCGGGATGCGGAGCTCTCGAAAGCGCTCACGGAACCTTCTGGAACCTCACCCAACTCGTGGAAGAACACGGCACAGCTAGAAGAAATGCAGCCTTGAACTTTCATGAACTTAAACCCTAAACCCTAAACCCTAAACCCTAAACCCTCAAGCCAGGCCTGGGCAAGATCGACTGTGCGCCGCTCCTGGCCCTCCAAGAGCGCAGCCAGCTCCGACAAGCCCGTGTTGGAGGAGGCAACCACATCCTGGAGGTTGGCCGCGCGCCGTTCGTGGCTGCTCATCGTTCCGGTCAATCCTTGGTTGTCCAGTAACTTGCGAGATTTACAGGTGAACCTTTGGGATTCTATTGGGATTAATTAGAATACCCAAAAAAGGTTAAAGGAAACCAACTCTACTACTAAGAATCCGGATAAGTCTGTTTCCAGCCTTCGAGCAATCTCTTGCAAGCTTTGGCAACGTTGCTCCAGGCCCTGGAAGAGCTGCTCAAGTTCTCTTCCAGCTGTCCGATGCTTTCTATGAAGGTTATCTTGCTCGCGCGAAAGGCCGACGGCTTCGTTCAAAGCCTTCAGCCACATGCAGACATGCACACTGAGTCACTGGGTTTAAAGCTGGGCTTTTTGGGGGCATCAGATCTCTTGGGTTCTGCACTGATTCACTTCCACACTCCAATCACTCCCTCCCGTATTCGCTTGTCAATCACTCCGCCAACAGACACTGCTTCACTCAATCCCTCCGCTCACACACTGCTTTCATCTACTTACTCACTCAACGCACGAACATGTACCTAACTTCGTTTAAAAAAAAAGCCACATGACATGTGCACCAAACAACTTGGAGCCTAGTCTGCGCACCGCTCCTGGCTACAACCGGCGACTGGACAATGAGCTTCGGGATGGATGACCCGCTGCGGCAACGAAAGGGCTGATTCACCGATACGGACCCATAACGTCTCACTGGGTGTAAGATGCGTATAAGCTTCTCTAAAGCGGCCCAGCGACAATGCTAACGAAAGGGCGACGAGAGACGAGTCCGAATCACATAGACCAAAACACCTTTTTGACAGATGTGATGCAGCCGCGAGGCACGTCTCAGGTCGTTGACCTCGGCTTGGTGAGCACCTTCCAGCGCGGCCACCCGCGCCGCAACCAGTCTTCCGGCAGGCTTCCCCCGAGCATCCTCAACACTCAAGGCCGCCTGCACATGATGCGCTGAATCAAGGGGCCTCCCTAAGTATCTCTCCCCCTTGAACGAGAAAGGGAATTCGGCCTCCCCCTCCCTTCTTCGCTTTCCCCTCTCCACCCCCCGCCCTCCCCTGGGTGGCGTGATTGCGGGGATTGAGTTTGAGGTTCAGGGTGGTTGAGGAAGAATCTTCTCTTTCAGCGGTCCCTCACCTTAATTAACCCTCTCCAACAAGTTTTGCAATGATGGGCGAAAGGCAACCGCTTCGCACTTGCTTCACCAGCCATGGCCGACCGGCCTCGCACGCAACAAGTCGAGCCTGGCACGACTGCGACGCCGTAACTTAAGCAAACGGCGCCTAACCTCGTTTGGTCTCGTTTCTGTCAGTTTTGCTGCTTTTGTCCCTGAGCCTCCATAGAGTTCAAGAGGTGCTGCTGAGCTGTCAGTTGCGCCTGCATCGACTTTCAAGCTGAGTCCACCTCGGGACCTCGCAATATCTCGCAATAGGTTGTACTTTTGCAGTCCTCGATGTCATTCGGCAAGCGCTTGGCAGCCTCAACTGTCGTGACGTGGCTTCTGCTGGGCTTCGTGCTGCCAGTCTCGTCTTTCTCATGACAGCTTTCACATGGCCTTCGGGCTGTACAACGCCTGCACAGCTCCATACGCTCCATGCTCCATCCTGGCAGTCTTGCTACGCTGCATGCCGCTGCATACCGCTCCCTGCCGCTGTTGCTACACTCCTCCCAAGGCTGTTTGTACGGCGGCCCTATTGACCCTGGCCTTGCCGAGTTTTGACCTAGTGGCGTTGTGTCCTGAAGTGTCGAGATGAAGCATCAGGGTCTTGAAGAATTCGGGTCTTCGCTCGCCCGCCTGGCTGAGCTTGAGATGGCGCATGGCAACTGTCAGCGGACCGGCCTTAGAATCAGGCATATTTACAACAATCGCTGCAGAAAATGAGTGTCCAAGCAAACCGCAGAATCAGCAAAAAGAGCCCGCAATGTGAGTCGGCAGAACACCAGGAGCAAGCACCAATAACCTCTTCCTCCTCATATGAAATCGGTCCCCGCAGGGCGCAGCGGATCAGGGTTTCAATCAGGGTTTCAAAGCCTCCCCTCTAAGTCTCTTGCTCAACATTCGCTGGGTTGGGCGTCGGCTTCATGGTCACAGAGACCCCTTCTTAGCAAACTCACTAAAAAGTACTGATGAAATGTCGGGATGGTCTACTCCGATGAAAAGATGCAGTTCACATCATCGGTCCACAAGGCCTCAATCAAGCTCAGACCTAGGTATCCTGTGCTGTTATTCACTTTATTCACTGCTTCCCAGTGAAGCTTTCTGGGCTGGCGACGCCATGATCAAAGAGCACGTCGCAGGTTCGAGCCTGACACTCTTTAGTGCTATGCTATCCAGGTTCGAGCAGCTCAGAGCAGCTTCCACTGTGATTCAATGCTTCCACTCCTCTTCATCTACCCGCTGCACGACGCCAATATCTCCGGAGGAGAAGGACGGAAATTGCCGTCCTGGCAGTACCTCTCGAGCTGAAGTCTCACGTTCGGCAAGCTGCAGGGCATTCAACAAGCAAACCATCTGCCTGCACGACGGAGCCTGCACGGACAACGCCATCCTTACAAAGACACCCGGCTGAGATTCTGCCAGACATCGTGAGACTTTGGCTGAGGCTGATGCTTGGTGACCTCAGAGAAGCCACGTATGTCAAGAAATGTCAAGCGACTGGCAAACGACCGGCAAATCAAGCATGTGCATGTCATTGAGCTCAGGATCTGGATGCCACATCGATGCGTGAAGGCAAGTGCATCTCAGAGCCCTAGCTGCTCAAGCATGGAGGCTGCTGGCGGCTTATTGGGCTCCAATGGTATCTTCAAGATCATCGTCGGACTCACGTGGTCTGTGCTTCCCCTTTGGTTACCGCTTCAGAAGTCAAGCTCCTACATGTCGCTTGCAAGGACACTGATCCTACTAGCGGCTCTGTTCACGTTGTTGGATGGCTTGTGCCATGCCTGCTATGCTTCACATTGCTTGGATCGCATGGCGGCGCGGCGCAGCATGCAAGTAAACGGGACAGCGTAGACGATGGTTCCTTCTCAGCAATGTCAGGCTGGCGCAATGCCAAATGCATCCAACTGTCTCAGCTGGTTTTCTTAATGTTTTCACCGCATCGCGAGATGAGAGCCACGGCTGCTGGAGCTGTGGAGCTCCATGAAACCCATGGGCCGCTCCAACTCTGCACCCCAAAAACAGAAGTGCAGAGTGTTTAAAATCTTCAGAATGGGTCACCCTCGTGACACACGACCGTCGCCTGCACAAAGACTCAAGGGCAAAATGGAGCGGAGTGGAATGGACGCTCTGAGCAGGAGCTAGGTATGTTAGCCCTGCCTTGCAGTTGGCCTTGGGCCTGCAGATGGCACGTACTTGCACGTCACACAGAAGAATGCTAGCCCCAACTCCAACCTCATGAAAGGCTCGCCGGAATGCGTTTACCTGTCACAGCTCTCCAAGCACTCAGAGCCAAAGGGATCCAAGCACTCATGATGATCTGCCTCAAAGGATTTTGCTTTCCCGGTCTGCTGATCGAAGCATAGCGCTCTGTCGAAGGACCAGTCCTGACAAAACACAGGAACATATGCCAACTCCCATGTGGGTCATCATGTGACCCATGTATACTCATGTGTCATCTCCACAGAAACTAAGGCTACAGCCATTTGAGGAATGGCTCTTGCATGGGCGACCTGAAGCGACAAAACCCTTCTGATTATGATTGTTATTATTATTACTATTGCTGCTACTGTTACTATGATTATGATTAGTATCATTATGACTGACAGTCAAGAAGGGTATGCGGCATCTTGTGGCAAAGTGCAATGGGTGGTGCTGAGTCTCCTGCTTCTTTGTCTTCCGCAGCTTGGAAAGCTGACAGGTAGCCTGAGCCAACTCGAACTTATGAAATGTTCTGAATTTCCATGAGTTTCATACAAGGGGCAGTACTCACGAACAACATGAACAACTAAGATAAGGGGATGAGCGCATAGACAAGCTTACCAGCGGGATGCCGAAATAGCTCTCTCATGGGGCTCGCAGGATCTTAAAGACGATCCAAGCAGCCATGGTCCAGAGCGTCTTCAACTGCAAGCCGCCTTCGAACGGAACGTTAAAATATCAAACGGGCGGAAAATAAAAATTAGAGATCTAAAGAACGTACTTGCTAACCCACCGTGAACTAGCGACGTGACGGGCCTGAAAGGGTCCAGCCGAAGCATTTGGACCTGCGACATCCCCAGCACTGCCAGCACTCCGCATACTCCCGACCTAACCTCCTGACTGTCTGAGGCCAAGGCCAGCATGTCAATTGCCAAGGCATTGGCAGGCTGCGCGCCAGAGTGGGAGACGAGCTTTCGAAGCCCCTGGAAATGTTCGAGCAGATGCACATGCGAACAGCAACAGAGAGCGATGTCCCATGACATCATTTGCAAGCTTCTGCAAGCTGAGTTGGTATTCTTGGCCTCGTCATTCGCTTGAGCAGTTTTGTTGCCTCAAGCGCACAAAAGGTGGAGAAACCAGGAGAAACAGCACAGGATAACCTTGCCACAGCTCAGTTGCCGACACATGTGCACAAACTTCTTTGCTGGGCTTGAGTCCGGAATCCAATCCAAGTCCTGTGCAACGAGCCATACGCGATTATCCTGGGAGTCATTAAAGCCATTTAGATCCATTAAGGCTTCCGGCAGTCTCCTGCCTCCGACTTCTGGAATCCCAAGATGCAAAGAATCTTCCTCAGGCTGATTGTGACAGCCACAGGCAGCGCGGTTCGCTCAGGGAGCATATCCACGCCTGACTTGATCCAATGAGTCTTTACCCTCGAAGATGCACCTTGCAGGAGGTGGCTGCAGACGGATATGGGGGGTTTTCGTTTTTAGGGGGTACCTTATTGGGGTCCTTATCATAAGGGAACCCTATGCTATTTGGGGGGTCGATATTCGGGGGTCCCTGATTTTCGTACACCCCCAAATATGCCAGGTCTGCTCCCGCTCCGAGCTCAATGGGCCTTCGCGTGAGCATCTCACCGAGTATGCAGCCGGCAGACCACATGTCCACGGCCTTGAAGCTGCAGGTTAGTTAGTCACCCTCGTCGCCTCTCAGGTTTATTTTAAGGGGCTGCGCCCATGGGCGGGCAGCGCAGGCAGAAGCGCGGGGCGAGCAGTTTCTAAGCATTTTGAGGCCCCTAAACTCCCTTAAAATCTCTAAGCGTTAAGTTTCTAAGCATGTTCAGGCCCCTAAACTCCCTTCAAATCTCTAAGCGTTTGAGGCTCCTAGACTCCCTTAACGTTTCTAAGCACTTTATAAGGCCACTAAACTCCCTTTTTCCTAGCCCCGACCTTAGACACATCGCTTATGCCCGCCCTTTGGGGGGCATCATGCTCCTGATGCGTCCCCGGGGTCCCGCCCCGGGAGCCGCTGATGCTCCTGATGCGCGCCTGGGGGTCCCGGGCTGGACCCGCTGATGCTCATGATGCGCGCCCTCTGGGGGCCTCCGTGGCGACGCAAAAAACCACGAAAAAAAACCGTTCACCGGCGGCACGCGGGGGTCGGCGGCACTGGCGTCCGGCCTAATTCTGCTTCGCAGAAGGCCAGGGGCCAGCAAGGCTATTCCCGGGACGACCCGGGCTAAAAGGTCCGCATTTGCTCGGTCCTTTGGGGACCTCGCGCTGCCCGATTTAAGGGCTAACGCCGCTGCCGCCGACCCCCGTGGAACCGGGGGGTCGGTGCGCGTGTGGGGTCGGCCCCTTCCTCATAGCTGTTTGGCACATTCCCTTTACGCATTGAGTTTCTCTAAGCATCGCAGGCTAGTAGGGTGCTTCTCGCAATGTCCCCGTCCAGCAATGCCGTCCGGAATGCCCAGCGCTTGGCTGCGCTGTGTTTTTGAGTTTTTTGGGGCGGGGAGGGGGGGGTCCCTGGTCGGGGGGCGGAAGGGGGTAGGGGTTGCGGGTGGGGGGGGTTCCCCTGGTCCGGGGCGCTGGGGTCGACAGGTCGGGTGGGTCCGGGTCGCCTAGTGGGGTGGGGTAGCGCGGAGCGTTGTTGTGGGTTGGCGGTCAGAAATCGTCGGTTCTGAACTCGACAAAAAAAGTGTTTTTTGAGTTTTTTTGGGGCCGGGAGGGGGGGTCCCTGGTCGGGGGGTGGGGGTGGGGGTCGACAGGTCGGGTGGGTTAGGGTCCCCTGGTCGGGGTGGGGGAGAAGGGGGGGTGTAGGGGGTAAGGTCAGGGTCAGGTGGGCAGGGGGTCAGGGCCACCAGCAAGGAACGGGTTTGCAAGCACCCACGGAGCGTTTTTGTGGGTTAGCGGTCACAAATCGTCGGTTCTGAACAGGACAAAAAAAGTGTTTTTGAGTTTTTTTGGGGCCGCAAATGGGGGGTCCCTGGTCGGGGGGCGGAGGGGTCGTCAGGTCGGGGGGGTCGGGGGAAGGGAAGGGTGGGGGGGGGAGGTCGTCAGGACTACCTCCCGTGGGAGTAGGGGGTAGGGGCAGGGCAAGCACGCACGGAGCGTTTTTGTGGGTTTGGCGGTCTGAACCTGACAAAAAAAAGTTTTTTGGGGCCGGGAGGGGGGGGCCTGGTCGGGGGGCGGAAGGGGAGGGGGTGGGGGTGGGGGTCGACAGGTCGGGTGGGTCCGGGTCGCCTGGTCAGGTGAGTTCCCCTGCGGGGGGGTTTTGGGGCCGGAGGGAAGGGGCTGGGGGTGGGGGTGGGGGTCGACAGGTCGGGTGGGTTCGGGGGCTGGGGAGGAGGGGTTCCCTGGTCCGGGGCGGAAGGAGGGGGGTGGGGTTTGGGTGGTGGACTTCGGGTTCGGGAGGAGTAGGAGGTAGGGGCAGGGCAAGCACGCACGGAGCGTTTTTGTGGGTTGGCGGTCAATTTCGTCGCTTCTGAACAAGACAAAAAAAGTGTTTTTGAGTTTTTTGGGGCCGGGAGGGCGGGGGGGCCGAAGGGGAGGGGGTGGGGGTGGGGGTCGACAGGTCGGGTGGGTCCGGTCACCTGGTCGGGGAGAGGTGAGGGGCCGCGGGTAGGGGGGGGTTCCCTGGTCTGGGGCGGAAGGGGAGGGGGGTGGGGTTTGGGTGGTGGACTTCGGGCTCGGGAGGAGTAGGGGGTAGGGGCAGGGCAAGCACGCACGGAGCGTTTTTGTGGGTTGGCGTCAATTTCGTCGGTTCTGAACCCCGACAAAAAAAGTGTTTTTGAGTTTTTTGGGACCGGGAGGGGGGGTCCCTGGTCGGGGGGTGGGGGTGGGGGTCGACAGGTCGGGTGGGTTAGGGTCCCCTGGTCGGGGTGGGGGAGAAGGGGGGGTGTAGGGGGTAAGGTCAGGGTCAGGTGGGCAGGGGGTCAGGGCCACCAGCAAGGAACGGGTTTGCAAGCACCCACGGAGCGTTTTTGTGGGTTAGCGGTCACAAATCGTCGGTTCTGAACAGGACAAAAAAAGTGTTTTTGAGTTTTTTTGGGGCCGGGAGGTCCCTGGTCGGGGGGCGGAGGGGTCGTCAGGTCGGGGGGGGGGTCAGGGAGAAAAAAGTGTTTTTTGGGGGCCGGGAGGGGGGGTCCCTACCTCCCGTGTAAGGGGCTTCCCGGGCGCTCGACCCCAAAGGCGGGGTCGGCGGATACTCTCGTGGAACTTGAACTCTCGAAGTTGTGAGCCCGGCATAAGTGTACATGGAGGCCGTCAGCACTACCTGAGCAGGAGCTTTCACTTGATGAGACGGAGCCTCTTGATGAGAAGAAGCCTCTACCCTTTGTCAACAGTTCTGCGCGAGCCTCGGGTGCTCGGTAGTGTCGCGTCACTACATACTCCGTCAGCATCATCTCGTCATGGTTGTCCTCCCAAGACTGACCATCTATAGTAATATACTGTAATCTATAATTTAAGAAGAAGAATGGTACTAAGGAAGTGTAGTTGCAAAGCGCTGGCACCCACATTTACGAAGCCCTCCAGTCACCAGTCCTCTTCCGAGTCAATCCCTCGAGCCATGCCCAAGTCTCCAATCTTTACCTCACCATCAAAGCCACAAGATGCTACAAGCGAACAGATGGATTTAGGGGGATTAGGGTTTAGGGTTTAGGGTTTAGGGTTCTGCGTTGTGTGCCATGCGCCTCACCACCGGCTCGCACCAGGACGTTGCCAGGCTTCAGGTCCTAGTTTCAATGAGCCGAAGATCTCGGAGATTTGAGCCAGCGTCGGTGGTGAAATTCGAGCGCTTGGCTCTGTGAATGACATGTGCACATCGGAGGCAAAGTAATCCTCGAAGCATCTGGTACAGAACCTGCAGCTTCGGCAGCCATGCCATGTTCCAGCTGCGTGACGCAAAACATGACGTCTGATTCTGACAACTCGTAAAAATGATCGCAAGAACGCATTGTCGAAGGTCAAGGAGCGGACGCACTGTACCTGCCATTACCACCACAGCTACCACTGAGTCCCGCTATGCTTTCAAGGCCGGAAATGCCAAAACATCTCTTTTGGTCTTCAGGTTGGCTCCTGGTGATCGTTCAAGAAGTTTTTGGATCCATGAATCAGCGAGTGCAAGTCGCCATCCATCCTCTGGCAGCACTGTCCAAGACACCAAAACACCATGCATAAAGAAGCGAGCTGTGCATGCCTCTCCAGACAGAGATAGGCATCCTGGGCTCGGGCGCTGGACCGGGGCGCGTTAGGCTCTCGGCTTAAGAGAAAGTCCAAGCAAGTCCTTGAAGTCCGGGCCATCAAGTATCAGCTTGTGCAATCGCAGCAGGTTCGGGTGCTGCAGGTGGGCCAGTAATCGGACCTCTCTGAGCGTTTAGGGTTTAGGGTTCAGGGTTTAGGGTTTGAGGATTGCGGGCAGTCACAGCGGCATTTGCACCTCTCGGAGGGTTCTAAGTGCAAGTATCGGATGGTCGAACACGCGCTCGACCTCGCAGGGTAAACGTCTCAGTCAGCCTCCAAGGAAGGTGTCCCCAAGAACAAAGAACTGGCCTTCTTGACAGCATACTCCTGGTCCATTTCAGACCTAAATGCTGCGACCTCAGCAAGCTTGAGTAGGGACCTGCATGAAAGCTCGTGCTCGAGGTTTCACGGAGCCCCATGAAAGGCGGTAATTACAGCATTGATGCAGTCCGGAATTTGTTAATGATGTGACTACATCATAATTTTGGCTTGCTGCTGACTCTGTTCATTGTAGCCAGACACCTAATCTCCCACAAAAACGCATCGATTGAAATGAAAGACTTTGGTTGGGGTCCTTCAGGAGCTCTCCTGGCAGAGAACCCACTACAGTGAAATAGTCGTAAAGTGATGTCATCCTGTTCGCTCTTTTACTTCGTTCACTTGTTTCTCGCGTTGTCTTCGTGAGTTTACACTAATGATAATAAAGCGAGTAATAAATAAAGTGAATTAAGAGCCCTCTGAAGTTCTGCGTTAGCCGAATAAAACTCAAAGAACTTTGACGAATGCGCGTGCCCAATTAGTGCAGGGGGAGGCTCGTTCCCTTAATTGATATTTCGAGGTCTGAAGGCAACAGGGGCCTTGGTTGGGCCTGAAACAACAGCCAGGACCCCGCACTGCCGAAGCATGTGCACCCCAAGGAGCTTTCGAGATTTTCATTTTCGAAATCCTGCACCTGCAGAAAGAAAATAGAAAAGGATCCTCAAAAGGATCCTTCCGTCCCCATACATGTTTTTTGCTGCGGCCAGGACCTCAAACAGCGCACCTTGCCATCGCTTGCAACCACAAGAACAAAGGACCTCCGCACCCACGTCTCTCCATTCATGGTTTCGGGCTTGACAACCGACAAGGCTCGGCTGCCATCCAACACTCCTTTGAGAGTCATGTTACATAAGAGTTTAGGGCTTGCTATGGCTTGCCAGCCGACAACTCCTCGGATTTGGGGTTTTCAGATCACCTCGAGCCCGCCCCGGCCAACGTTTGTTTTTTGTTTCCTGGCTTGCCAGCCAACCTCCCCTTCAGAGCTTAGCGTTCCCCAGCCAACATTCGCTTTGTGGCTCTTGGCTTGGGCAGCCAACATTCTCTTCAAAATCTCCCTTGTAGGACTTGCCAGTATGACTGCCCAACCAACTTCTACTCGTGGCACTTAGCGCTTGACCCCTCTTCTTCGGGGTGTAGAACCAACATCTCCAGTTAGGGTTTAAGCAACATCTCAGTTTAAGGCTTAGGCGTTGCCAGCATCACATGTTTCAGGGTTAAGTGGCCAATGGCTGCACTGGCCACTGGCCCGGAAGGTGGTGCAAAGAAAGGTGCTGCAAATGCTGGCTGCAATGCCACCCTACATGTGTCAGGTGAATGTCCATGGGCATAAGATAGTAGAAGGTTGAACCGATCACTCGTAGTTGTTCTTGCTGCATATAGAAGCCCGCTTATCTTCTAGCCCATGCCAACCAGAGGCCTACCCACAGCCTACATAGGTAGGCCTGCCCTGTGGGTAGGGTAGGCCTGTAGGCAGGCCTATGGTAGGCTTGTGGGGAGCCTGGCGGTAGGCCTTTATAAGAGGACTCGGAGGTGGGCTATGGCGACAACTGCGACTGAGATCGGAGCATTCGCATAGGCACCGGAACCCAGCCACTGCACTAGCTGCCAACTGTCCCAGGTGCAGATAACAAGTGATAACGGCTGACAGTAGGCTTTGGCTCCCCTGAGCATCCAGACTCCCTGTGACATGGTCCAGCCTCCCTGGCAAAACGAAACTGACCGCGGATGTCCTCGCCGGAACGGAGAACGTCCTGAGCAAGGCTCATCCCACTTCGCTGTCTTGGTCCGGCTGACTATGCAGTGATGCATTCGGTTTAAACTGTGTCCTGAGTGGCGCATCGTCCTCTGCCATCCGCGGGATAAGCGCATTAGCGAGTTTTGATGTGATGCTAACGGACTGTAAGCGAGCATGACGAGCTTCCTGAAGCTGATCAGAACAGCCTAACTTATAGCACAAGGCCTAGCAAGCTCATTGCAGGAAAGATCCCAAACCGAAATCTAGATCGATCTAAACCCAATCAGTCATCCCACAAACTCACTCGCTAAGCAGCTTTTGTTGTACTCCGAGGTGCAACAAACTTTGTCGCTACCGGTAGGTGCCTGCATTTGTCTGAGCGTCAGACTGGAAGGTCTACTCTCGTTTACTGGGTCCACCATCACTGACCTGCTTGAAAAGGGAAGCTTGAAGCGAGCAACTCTCGTGAACAAGTCTTCGGCTCGAGGAGGGGAATAATGGGTGAGGCTCTGAGAAGGCTCCTCGTCCTTCGTCCTTTTCTTGGGGAGGTTTCCGCGACTCGGGGCACCTTCTGAACCCTAAACCCTAAACCCTAAACCCTAGACCCTAGACCCTAAACCCTAAACCCTAAACCCCAAACCCTGAACCCTGAACCCTGAACCCTACTCGTCACCTGTGGGTTCGACCTCCTCCACCCCTTCAGAGTCAAGCACCTTGAGAGCAATTTGTGAAAGTGGCAGTTTACGAAAATCAGGGCCCGTTTTAGGGTTTTAGGGTTTAAGGTTAAAGAAGGGCCTCCTAAAATAACCCCCTTGCGTGGTAGGATTCCCTTATACATAAGGACCCCAAGGGTGTAGGGTTTAGGGTTTAGGGTTTAAGGTTTAGAGTTTAGAGTTTAGGGTTTAGGGTTCAGGGTTCAGGGTTCAGGGTTCAGGGTTCAGGGATTAATTAGGGTTTAGGGTTTTGGGTAATCTACGTTCATGACAACCGCCTTTGGCACCAACACACCCGAGGCAGTTGAGCAACCCGCCTGGCAATCGAAAGCCCAAGCCAACTCAGCTCCATTTGGGTTCCATTGACTCCAGAGGCGCCGCATGAAGTCATGAAGCCATATGGCCATATTCTCCAAATCAGGATCCCTTTTGAAGTCCCCACAAAAAGGCATGCAAATAGGGCACCATTAAGTAAGGCACCCCACCCCCCCCCCCCCCACAAAAAACAAGTAACTCCCACAGCTCCGGAGCTGTGGGATGCCCAAGAAGACGAGTTGTGACTCCTGATCACAATATCACCTTCTGGGTGGCCGGGACATCAGGCTGCCACTACAGCGGATTTGTGTCAACCATGCGCCGAGTGACGGACCAATCATCGAATTGAACATTGAGGGTGACGCGCGGGAACAAACTGCGGAATTGACAGAACACTGCCAAGCACGAGATGCAAGGGGTGTGAACCGCATAGAGATTCACTTGGCCACGAACATCTTTAAAACAGCGACGTTCCTGATGAAGCCTCCGTATGATGGCCAAAAGCGCTTGACGCTCAGCGTGCTTGGAGCGGTCGTGCTCGACGAAGACTGGCGACAAGTGCGGCAACAAGGAAAACTCACAAACCTCCGCAACGGACGCCGCGGGAACCACCTTTCCCTTGTCCTCAAAGATTGGTCCATCCGTGTCCGTCAATTCGTAGGCACACCAAACAACCAGGCTTTGAGCCGATGCACGCTCCGGCCACACGTTGCGCTTCTGCTTGCGCCGGGTTCGGCGCCTACTCGCCATCATCGCTCTCAAAGCATGTCTTGCAGATTTCTGAGCAACTGCCCGCCAGCTGGGAGACACCGTGCTGAGTTCCAGATCACGGAGCGCTCTCCTGGTGTAGCGAGCTCCGAACCTGAGAGCAGTGGCTTCTTTCCTATTTCATATGGGAGCACGGAAGAGCACGAACAACATAACAAATAAAACAAGATAATAATATGACATAGCAATACAATAATCGAGCAATAAAATAATATGACATTGTATCTTAACGTAACTGTTTTTACTATGCTAGTTTCCACCTTGTTCCAGCATCCTTCCAAGATGCTCTTTTCGGACTTCAGGTTGGGGTCACGCAATAGGTTTGTTGTTCATGTATGTCCTTCACGCTATCTGGACTGGGTCTGCTTAAGCCTCAAGTTGTCTATATACAAAGTTGTGATAGCATTGAGAAGAAGACTGCGTCGTAGAGTTTTCACTGCAAAGGCGTACATAGAATAAGGCGCACGTAGAAAAACCAAAAACACGGACAAGATTGACAGGATTCTGCCGCTTCTCACTGTCTATACACCTCCATGTTGCAGATCTCTGCCTCTCTGTTCCTATGTTTCACACCTTCCACTGTTCTGGTCAGGAGAGAGTCTTCTCCAGAGTCCCCTTTCACCTACATCATTCATGTTCTTATCCCTCTTTTGCCGTTCAAGAGATTTCAACAGGAAAAGGGACGAGTCCTCCACCAGTTTGTTAGACGGACGCCATTCCTCTTTTCATCTCTCTTCATTTCTCTTACTGAGCAGCCAGGCTTTCTTTCTGCCTCTCCTTCCTTCTTCAGGCTTATTCCTTTCTCATCTTTCTTTTTTCTTGTTCAATTGAAGCAGTCTGCCAAAAAAACCTTCTCCGAAGGTGATGGAAAGAGAACGCTTCTTCCATCCCCATCACCTATCTGCTGTCTGCTTCAACAGGAAAATGTTCGACAGGTGAGCTATCGACAGGTGAGCTGCATGGCATGGATCTTCGGCGACTGGATCTTGAACGCCTATAGCAGCAACTAGCAAGACAGAACCAAAGTAGCAACTGGACAGATACAACCACAAGATGACCATGACGAAGTTGATGTAAGCCTGGCCACAGGAACAGAGTTATGGTAAATAGAGGGGGTTGAAGAACCACCTAGCAGCGTCGCAGACTCTGCGCAATTCTTGGATGACTGGGGGACTCGACCGGAGGCCGAGTCACCAACAAGGGAAGGGAGGGCGTTTCAAACTTTAGCTGCTCTCACAGCTTGCTTGACCCAAACACAGCAGCGATCCCTTAGAATGATACGCATGCACCCAAGCCTGCCAAACTCAACATGCACATACATTCCAGCGACGCTACCAACACTGACTGGCTATTCAGCATTCATGGCGACTTCCCCCCTTTTCTCCTCCCGCATCGCCTCATGGTCCACAACTCGCCCTGCGAGATACGCTTTGGGTTTATACCGCTAGGCATATACACCTGCACCACGGTGTCAGCAGATGCAACCTGCCCAGGTTGGGACACACCCAACGCACTCACTCCCAAAGCACTACAAAAAGTGGACCACGTGGATCACAGCGGGCGTGGGGAGAAACCAGATGTCAAACGGGAAAGGAGCAGAATGCAAGGAGAAGCCGCGGCGAGGAAACCACTCATCTGCCGCGCCATAGCGCGAAATGGAATCTGCCCAGTTCGTAGCAGAGGGAATCCACTCCCAATACAACGACGCTCCGAGAACAGGCAAACGTGGATGAGGTTGGATAGCCGCTCCAAGTCGGGAGACTGAGAACGTCCCCGAATGAGGCTCATAAGGGCCGCCGTATTATCTATGAACCAGATGCCTCGTCTGCCCCGAAAGTGTTGGGGCCGTGCCGTGAGAGCGTAAAGCACCATCGCAAGTTCCAACTGCGCGATGCGGCGGTCATCGGGGGTGAACACGGAGTACACCGCGGAGTCGACTTGAGCGACGAAGGACTCACGGCACTGGGGCTCGTCCAACCACACCGGGCCTCATCAGACTGTCTGGCCTCCACCTGTAAGGCCACGGGCTCGAAAGCCGGCTCCTGCCAGCGATCTCCGCGACGCCTCCTCCATATGACCTGAATGAAGCGGGCAGCGTGCACAGCTCAGCAAGTGGCCACGACCAGAGCGCAGCAACATGACCCCTTAAACGCTCGTGCTCTCGGCTATTTCAAGCCCAGGCCGCAGATGGGCCACTCCCATCTGAAACCCTGCGGGTAGGAACAATCTCCGGCAACTCTGGAACCCTGTGAGGCGGGGGAGGGTAGTAACCGCGGAAGCTCACAATGCCAAAGCTGCTTGCCGGTCCCCTGCCTCCCAGAATGCTCCAAGTGACGCGCAACACATAGAAGAAGAGATAGGACAGGGTCACTCCCTAGATAGCACCAGCGGTGGACCGCTGGAGCGAAGAATGAAAGCCCCCTCCCGGGTCACTCCCGGTACTCGGAATGACAGGGACCCTCCCTGTCAAATTTTAGCTGCTGCCGATTTGGCTCACAGCTTGCTTGACCCAAACACAGCAGCGATCCCTTAGAATAACACGCACGCGCCCAAGCCTGCCAAACTCAACATGCACATAGACACATCGGCTGCAAAGAACGGTCTCGGTCTGGCAAGCGGCTAAGTTTCAGAGCAAGCCCCGGCGGCCTAGGCGAAGGTTCTTGCCGGACTAGAGACTCAGAACAGAGAGTGCTGAATCCGAACCTGAGGGGAGGTACAGCCAAGAACATGAAGCGATGCGAGTGTAGCGAGGCGGGTGCCATGAATTCAGTGACCCTCAATGAATCATGCTTGTGACAGTTCAACGAGAGGCATGCAAGCAGGCCACAGCGAGCACAGACAGGCAGTGCGGAGATAGAGCATGGCAGTTCGGGACGGCGGCGGGAAGTTTTTATGAAACCCGTAAGGGATAGAACAGACAAATGCGCCTGCGAGCCACAACTTTGTCGTGAGCGGGCGGCGCAATACTGTGCCTCTGCGTGTACAGCTGCAAACACTCGTGAGCAAAGTTCAACCACGTTCACCGCAAAACATTAGTTCCGATACGGATGCCCTTTGAAGGTTAACTGCGGCACGCGCTATTTTGACACATCGGCTGCAAACAGCAGTCACGGTCGGGCGAGAGAATGTGTGGTTGTGTTGCATATGGTGTGTCCGGGCTGAACACGTGGTTGTTTCCTTAATTGGTGTGTCTGGGTGTAATGTGTGGTTGTTTTGCTTGTTGGTGTACTCGGGCTTAATGTTACCAAAACACTTACATTTTTGATGTTTGAGGAAGACCAGGGTTTACAAAAAAACCTCGCGTTTTTGAATTTTGCGGTGGACGACAGTTTACACAAGAAACCAAAAGAACTTTAATAAGTTAAAGCCATCATGACTCATACCAGGACCGCAAGTGAGTCATGGCTCGCATTCAAACTCCGTCGATTCCTTAAACTGCAGCTAATGTAAGATTTTCAAGGCTTTTAGTCAATAAGGATTTTCGGCCTACTTACAAACATAAATAAGGGTAGGGGCTCAAATAAAATTTATTTGGGATCAAAAATAATTTCTAGGCGGATCAAAAAAAAACTTACTTGGGATCAAAAAATAATTTACTGAAGGCTTCGAAGGCTTGTTGCAAGCGGAGCGGAGGCTGTAAACGCTCAGAAATGCCGCATTTCTGGCCGTTCGCAAGCTCTAAATACCGAAAAAATACAGCATTCATGTGGGAACTACTGAAAATAGCAGCATTTCTTAGTTTCCAGAGAGGCTGCAGATACTGTATATAGCAGCAGTTCTGCGCTTTCAGAGGCTGGCTGCAGTGTGCAGTATGTCCAGCCTCTGAAAGCGCAGAACTAAATAAATTTTTTCTTGATCCTAAATAAATTTTTTTTTGATCCGCATCCCTTAGGCTTAAGCTTCTTGAATTCCATGAAATCCTGACATAGAACCTGATTTAAAATTGTAAAGAAAGTAACAGTTTCAAGAACCCTTGAGTAGGAGCTGACTTCAGAATATGGGAATCTCAGAATGTAAGGAATTTCGAAGCTGTGACTCATCGCAGGTCATGACACGAAGCTGTGACTCAAATCAGGCCCTGACTCATTGCAGGCTTGGAAATGAGTCACGAAGCCATGACTCGTTTCAGGCCCCAAGCAGACAAGAAATTGGGCGTAACAATATGGGGCCCAATGTGTTGTGCCATGTTTCGGTCTTTGGCTGCGGTGTCGTGAACAAAGCCCAAGACTGGGCGTAAAGAAATGGTCTGTTCATGTGTTACGCCTTGTTCGGCGATGCTTCGTTCTTGGGCTGGGCTGTCGTGAGCAAAGGAGAAACCCAAAATTGCGCGTAACTCGACAAGGGGGCCCCAATGTGTTCGCGAACAATGGAGCAAACTACAAAATGGGGTAACACAAATGGGGCCCCAACCAATTCGTTGCCTTAAAACAGAAGCTTGAGCATCGATTTTGGGGCACTCGAAAACGTTTCAAACCTTGGCAGGCCTCAAAATGGTCAAATTTCAATCCAGCTGGTTTCTTTGGAACTTGAATGTTTAAAAGCGTTAAAACGAAAAATACTATTTGGGGGATCCTGGGGGCTTGCCGAAAAACCCGGAAACCACTTAAAACTAAAAATGGTTAAAGCCTTTTCAAAGGGCTAAAACGGAACTCAAGAAACTTTCATTTTAAGGTGTTTAAGCATTTTAATCCGTCTAAAGAGCTTAAAAACCTTCAGATTTGAAAACACATGCTCGATTCTCCAGCTTAAGGTTAATCGAAATTCGACGAGAGACGCGGAAAACACATTAAAACGAAACATGTTTTGATTTTCTCATGTTTCACATTTTCAAGGTTCTGACAGTTTTAAAAAGGTTTCCCACATTTCGGAAACCCAGAACCATTGAGATTTTTAGTTTTAAGGATTTTCAAGGTTTTTAATGTCTTAAAAAGCACCGGAAGGTAAACGTGAAATTCTGAAATCGACTTACTGAGCTCTTAGTAGCCGAGCTACAAAGCGCCAAATAGACCCTAAAGGTCCTACATACATAACCCTGTTCTTTCATTAGGGTGGACTTAGAAGTATATGTGGACATGAGTTAAACTGAACGAGGATCTTAATAACGTAGACTTCTACTGGACGACAAGATGCCCAGAATGTAAAGTAGCATCCCAGTGCTGAACAAAGTGGCACACAAACGCGAACCATTCATTGTTTGCAGAAAGATCACGAGAGGGTCGTAGACGTTGTTGATCTCACAACCGCATGACAGTGATTCGGGTGCGAAACGAAGAATACTTGAGATGAGAGAGGCAATGACAGTAACAACAGATCAGACACACACGATTTCAGCATCTGCAAATTTATCTTTCCAACGAGAGGTATCGGACGAGAAAAAATCATCAAAAGCGGTCTCCCACAGTCCCCGGAATTCAATATCATTGGGTTACAGAGCCTCAGGATCATGACCACAAGCTTGACAAAAACACATAGGAGTGGAGCCGAGGGCTGAATCTGGTGAAGATGTTCTAGACATGTGTATACATATACGTACATAAATATATATATATATATATATATATATATATATGTGACTGCATATGTGTACTCTTTTTGTGTAGCGTGGAGCGACTGTTATGCTCGCTCCTACGTGGATTCCGCTACGCTGACTGTTCCAAACATGTTTGCTTCGTAGACTGACCTTCTCTGGCCAGGAGCCTGCTGCAGAACCCCGTTCATGCCAGAGCCCCGGCCGAGAAGGGCTGCGTAGCGATGAAACTAAGGTTCTTTGACGAGGAGCTGACGGCTTGAATGAGTACTATGAAGAACTAAGAATGCGATTGATTCTTACTGCTGTGTGTACCAGTTTCACCAAGAAGCCCATATAGCTCTTCCAGCACTCCATCATGAAGTGTCGCTTCCCGAGCGGCAGCCCCCGCATCCGCTTCGGAGCTGAGAAGCTTCAACCGTTCAAGTACCGGGAGGTATACGACTTGGTCGAAGAGGGCCGCTAAGCTCTCTCTCTCAGCCAGCAAAGCGTGGTGGGAGAGACACTCCATCCCTGCCACAATGTGCTTTGTCAGCTCCTGGCATTGTGCTTGCGCCTGCGGTGACTCTGTGCTGTCGATTCCTTGTCGCTGCAAAAGCATCCGCCCAATGGATGCATGCAGCAACGAAACCAGTTCGGGCACAATGGTGCCTGCCCTTGCCGATACCGCCGATGCACCCTGAGAAGTGCCTCGGCATGGCCTGGTACATGCATCGAGCACAGCTGCCAAGTGGAGTGGCCCCGGATGCATCTGATTTTCTTGCATCCTCCAAAGGGTGCCCAGAGCATCTTGCCACATGGAGCTCCGTGCGCACGCAGCGAGAACAGCCGTGAAGGTCACGGCATCGGCCTTTGCGTCCACGGAGTTCTCGGGCTGCTCGGACCCCTCGGCCTCGGGCGCTTTGGGAACTCCTGGCAGCGGGCCTGGGGAGGCCAGGCCCCAACAATGTAATGGATGATAGATACAATATATATGTATATATATATACATATGTATCACTACTCCAAAGGCACGCAACACCGCCTCCTACCTATTCTCCACAGGTCCTTGGATGTCTTCTGAACCCAGAAATTGCAAAGCAGTGCGCCATCTGGAGCCCTTCTCACAAGCACTTATGACGGCATTGTGTGTGGTCTGATCAGGTCGCAAGGAGTGCGATTGCAATTCCTGCAGAAGCGTAAGAGCACCCTTCCAATCACCACCGCGCTCACAAGCGCTGATCGCCGCATTGAAATATGCAAGATCTGGTGAGATTGTCTCTGCAGACTCCCAGAAGATTTGCAGGCTACGTTGCCATCGCCGACTGCGTGCACAAGCAACAAATACGGAGCTGTAGCATGCTGCATCGATGGGCAATGAGCTGTTTTTGGCATCCACCAAGAAGGCCAAGGCTGCATGCCACGCATTCCCCTGAGCACATAATCGTGTCAGTGTGCTGATTGATCTGACGCTGGGATGGAGGCGGATATGACGCATCTGCTGGTACAGCAAACCCCCGGCTTGCCACCTGCTGGTGCTGGATCCCGTACCAGCGAAGGCACGCATGGTCGAGTTGAAGCTGATCACATCTGGGCGCAGCTTTGCAAATGGCATTTGATCCAGGAGAGCCTGTGCGTGTGTCCAGCGTCGTCCTCTAGAACATGCGCTGATGGTGGCATTCCACAAGATCTCATTCAACACGCCATTTGCCGCGGCAACTGCGAGAAAGGCCATAGCCTGCTGCCAAAGTGACGCCCGGTCACAAGATGCGATGCCTGTTCCAAAAATCTTCTGCGCACCGGGGAGCAACGTTTTGAGCTCCGTTGTTCCTTTGCCTATGGTCAGGTCTGGTGCCTGCTCCAGCATCGCTTCCAGCAAGTGCACGGCTGTACTCCAGTTGTGCTTTCGAGACAACGCATGTAGTTCTGCATGGAGATCTCCGCCTAAGGGTGGACAGTCAGGAAGTCATGACACAAGCCCCCAAATTACGGTGCCGTCGGTTGCCGTGTACGTTGATCCTCGTCTTATTCTTTGACCGAAGATATGTTCTACTGTTCTGTTGTTCTTGATTCCTGAAAGCACGACTTGGTCGACCCCTGACCTTGAATAAGGAGGTCTTGGCCTCCACGGAGACTATCGTCGTCCATTCGCGTCATGCCGTGCGGCATGCAAAGGAAGAGCGAGCTTGAGGCAAAATCCGCACAGCTTCGCCAGTTTCCCCCCCCCCCCCCAGCATTTCCCATTACTCCTAACTGGAGGTCGTGCCGGAACGGATTCGATAACTCTCGGGAGCCTAGGTGCTCGTGGCTATTGAGCATCGCATTCAATGCATGGAATCGGCATGATGGCCTGACTCAGGCAATCCAAGCCGTATCCCGTTCGAAGAAGTCAGGTTCGGTTGGTGAGGGCACAACTTCAAGGAGCTCCCACCGCTTCAGCTGGCCAGCCTTCATGATTTCACACGTTGAACAAATCGCATGAAAAATATAATGGTCGGCAAGGCAATGGCGAGTGGCTGTGCTGACCGGCCAAGACCAAGCGAAAGCCCACATCGTCGTCCAAAATCTCAGAAGCACCCTTGTTCCACTCCAACTTCGTAATGGAGTTAGGTGTATTTTATTGCGCGGCTGTGTGTTTTGGGGCCCAAGACGTGTTGCACGAGGAAACCGACGACCATGACGACTCAAGAACCTGTCAACCATTCGTCCAAGGGCTGTACTTTAGCTCTGATAAAACACACGACCGTCAAAATCAGGGGCTGGAAGCAAACGACATCATCAATCATCGGGAAGCTGAAACCACCCGAGACTTTTCCGGAGTTGCTTGGCAGCTGCGAAACCTCTTTTTGCGTGTGGTGAAACGCTGCGAGGTGTTCCATGCATCAAGTGCCCTCTGTTAGGGCATCTGCTTGTGCGAAATCAGAAGAAAACCTAGAAGCAAGATCCTCAGCTGCATAGGCCGCCATACTGCAGGCACTTGTGGGCACTCATGGACCCTCCGGAGCATCACGTTACAAGACATCGCTTCACTATGCTTCACTGAGCATCGTAACCAGGATATCCTAACGATCACCTTAGCGTCTTAGATCCCCGCCAGCTTGGCCAACGGCAAGGCCTGGCGCATGCTTTTCAGTTTTCTGCGAACATCCGAGGAATAAGCAAGGGGCGCAGACTCTTTGCGTGGATCCTCTGTGTGTTTTGGCGGGGCTTTGCGTGGTCTTTGCTTGCGAATAAAATCAGGTGCAATGCACATCTGGGACGAAATCAGGCGTGTGTACCGAATGCGCAGATCCTGGATAGGACTGGAGACCCGCACGAGGCAGAAAATGGAGTTAGAAACTAACAGCCGCACACCGGGAGAGTGGGGAATAATTCGTGCTCTGTACTGAAGTTTGCGACGGGTTATATAAATATGAGCAGCAATATCACGAATTGCAGCTTGCAAGCCAGTGCCTGGACAGGGCCTGACTGGTTGCCTCAGAGTGCTCCAGACTCAAGATAGGATCTGAGAGGCAAGGTCACTTCCAGGGTCATAGCCACAGCTGCGTGCTCGTTCAGAAGATCCGGGTTCACCTGGACGTGTGACATCCGATGTTCGTAACCTTGCGGAACTGCAAGACATTGAATATGGCTGCCTCTGAAGTAACCCAGGCACTGGGCACTGGCCGAATTCCACCCTGGACATGGAGCTCAGCAACGTTCAGGGTATTGCATGGCAGGCAGTCCACACATCGCTGTGAGACGTGTGCCGAGCCGCCGACAGGTGGCACGGTGCAGCCGGGCTCCTCGCACCTGGATGCTCCGGGCTGCTTTCCGTCTCAAGATGTACCCTAAACCCTAAACCCTGAACCCGAAACCCTGAACCCTAAACCCTAAACCCTAAACCCCTAAACCCTATTCGAAAGGGCGAACCGAGCTCCAGGCTTCACAGTGCAAGTCTTGTCCGCTTGCAAGTAGCCCCTGGCGTCCTGCGGAAAGTTCGCCAAGCATCAAACAGCTGCATCTGTTCATAGGGTTTAGGGTGTTCATAGGGTTTAGGGTTTAGGGTTTAGGATTTAGGGTTTAGGGGTTTAGGATTTAGGGTTTCGGGTTTTGGTGTGGTCCAAGTTTCACAAGAGCACAGAACTAGTGCGCAGCTGGTGTGACTGCTGTTGTCCCGAATCACGCAGCCGCCCATGCCAGGTTGAAACATGTTGAAACCCTAAAGCCTAAACCCTACACCCTAAACCCTAAACCCTAAACCCTGGTCCAGGCAAGAGCAGCCAGTCCAGCCAGGTGCCGCTGCCTTGACCTTGGCGATAGCTAGGCTTGAAACATCTCTTGTCATGACTATTGACTATTACTACTATTCTTTTTTGGTATCCGCCGACCCCAGCCGGAGCGGGGGCGGCGTCAGTGAAGACCCATCGTTGTCTGCTCCCTCGCCCAGTGCCACCACCTCTTGCCCGCGCTGCCCCTTGACGCGTTCCTCTTACCCACCCTTCCCGCCCTCCCCCTTGGCCCCCACCTTGTTAGGGCACTAGTCAATGCCCGACCCCCCCCCCTTTCCTGTTCGTAATAAATTTTTAAAAACTCCAGTGCATGCCCCCTCCCGCCCCCCCCCCCCACCCTTCCCACCCTCCCCCTTGGCCCCCTCGAGTGCATGCCCGACCCCCCCCCCTCGCTGCTTTGCTGTCCGGAATGGAGCTCCAGTGCGTGCCCAAGCCCGCCCCTCGCTGCTCTTGCTCCCCCCACCCCCCCCCCCCCCGCCCTCCCCCCTTGCCCCCTCCGCCTCGACCCCCACCTTGTTAGGGTTCTAGTGCATGCCCGACCCCCCCCCCCTCGGAACCCACCCCTCCCTGCCCCTTCTTCCCCCCCCCCCCCCCCCCCGGCCCCCCGCCCCCCCCCCCCCCCCTTGGGCTCTCGCCGCTTTGCTGTTCGTAATGGAGTGTTTTCGGGGCCTTTAGTGCATGCCAAGCCCGCCCGCTGCCCTTGCTGCCCCCCCCCCCCCCCCCCCCCCCGCGCAGCGCAGTGCATGCCAGACTGCCGCCGCCCCCCTGCCGCCCCCTTCCCCCTTGGCCCCCACCTTTTTAGGCTCTAGTGCGCGACCCCCCCCCCACCCTCCCCCTTGCCCCCACCTTGTTAGGCATAGTGCCCCCCCCCCCCCCCCCCCCTCGCATACCCAAGCCCGCCCCTCGCTGCCCTTGCTGCCCCCGCCCCCCCGCCCCGCCCCCCCTCACTGCTTTGCTGTTCGTAATGGAGTGTTTTTTTTTGGCTCCAGTGCATGCCCAAGCCCGCCCCTCGCTGCCCTTGCTGCCCCCCCCCCCCCCCCGCCCCCCCCACCCTTCCCCCCCCCCCTTTGGCCCCACCTTGTTAGGGCTCTAGTGCATGCCCGACACCTCCCCCCCGCTCGCTGCTTTGCTGTTAGTAATGGAGTGTTTTAAGGGCTCCAGTGCATGCCCAAGCCCGCCCCTCGCTGCCCTTGCCGCCCCCGCCCCCCCCCCCCCCCCCCCTTGGCCCCCACCTTGTTAGGGCTCTAGTGCATCCCCCCCCCCCCTCGCTGCTTTGCTGTTCGTAACGGAGTGTTTTTAAGGGCTCCAGTGCATGCCCAAGCCGTGTTTTAAGGGCTCCAGTGCATCGACCCCCCCCCCCCTGCTGCTTTGCTGTTCGTAATGGAGTGTTCGGCTCCAGTGCATGCCCAAGCCCGCCCCTCGCTGCCCTTGCTGCCCCCACCCCCCCTGCCCCCCCCGTCCCCCCCCACCCCCCCCACCCTTCCCGCCCTCCCCTTGGCCCCCACCTTGTTAGGGCTCTAGTGCATGCGCGACCCCCCCCCCCCCCCTGGCTGCGTTGTTGTTCGTTTTAAGGGCTCCAGTGCATGCCCAACCCCCACCCTCGCTGCCCTTGCTGCCCCCGCCCCCCCCGCCCCCCCCACCCTTCCCGCCCCCCCCGCCCTCCCACCTCTTGGTGCCTGCCCGATGTTAGCGTGCTTCAATTCTTAGGATGGGGTCGGCGGCCTTGGCGGTAGCCATTAAACAATTATTATTATGATTATGATTATCATTTTTGTGATTATGCTTATTATACATCTTTAAGAGCACTGCAGCTGAGGCACTATGCACTCGCTTGGCCTGAAGCTCTCGCTGACGTTGGCATTGCTCTCGTTCGAAGCCTCCATCTACGCTGGGCAATTGTACGTGCCGTTTAACTTGCTCTCCGGAGGGCTCGAAGAGCACCACGTGCACTGCAACAGCATGTTCTCGAACTGCTTCCCCGTTGTGTTTGGCCACCAAGCGAACGAATGAACATGCTAAAACGAAACCACGGATGAGGAGAACCAGCGTCAATTCTCGAAACATCATGTAAACACAAGGAAAACATCACAGCGATCTAGCAGGATGGGGATCTGCGACTTCTCTGCGAATGTAGTCGTCCAACCCTTTGTGCATGATGAGGATTACGCCCCCGAAGTAAACGCAAGCGGGAGCGACTTTGACTTCATCTCCCCCGCGATCTCAACAGACTGGGAGCGACTAAGGCTGCTCGAAGCGTCTGGCTGGCTTGTCGTCGTCCCTGGAGACGTGCGAAGGCCCTACGACGCCCCGAGAAACCATGTGCTTTGTGCTGATACGCCGAGCATTTGTTCTGCCTGCACGTGGTCTCCCTTCCGGCATCCATGCACCTAAACCCTAAACCCTAAACCCTAAACCCTAAAACTGACAAGCCATGAGGTCCAAAGTCCAAGGGCAGGGTGTTTTTGCCAGGGGCCGCCTCCCAGACCATCTGGCAGAATCCGGGAGCTGCCTCCCCTGTATCCTGGCCGCTCGCCGTCATGCACTTCCTGCACTGAAAGGTATTTGTTATGCCGTCCTGACCAGCCGAATCGAGCTGGAGAGACCTCAAGGGGGTGGCTGAACACTGAGCTCATGCAGCACATGCCAGCAAAGCCCGCGACCAAAGAGTGCCAAAGCAGCAAGACTCCGCAAGCCTCCCCCGGCAACAATTTCCCAGAGTCACCCAAGGGGGCTTCCAGGATGCACTTCTGCTTTCAAGATGCGTTGCATAGCTTTAGCGTGCGTGCCGTGGATCTTTTTTAATGTTTTGGAGGAGGGGGGGGAAGAAGGGGGGGTCCTTGAAAGATCCGAGCCTCGTGGTGTCGAGCACGCTGGCCGGGCAGCTTGGGCCGAGCTCGCAGTCCACAGGCGTGTCACCTGCTTTAAGGGCGATCTTCTCACCTTTCATCACCTTTCTGCCTTTGCCTAAAGGGGATTTCTGAAACTGGGGGTACCCTATTGAGGTCCGTATTCCAAGGGCATCCTACCATTTGTGGGTCGAGGACCCTTCTATCGTAAACCCCCTTAAGGCAGTTCTTGCAAAGACTCACTCTGCCTAGGGCGTCGAAGATGGTACTCGTTGCCGTGAAGCCCGGGTGGCCGCACAAGGCTGAAGGCGAAAGGAGACCTGGAAGCAAGCCAAAAGGCAAGGTAATACCGTCCCCGCTGAGCCTCTAAGCCTTGGTTGGTTTTTTCATGTTCAATCTGGGCTGGAAAAGATACAAAGGCAGGTCGGACGAGCGCCAACTCGTGTCAGTGTGGCTGGTGATGCTCTTGCAGTCATCCAGAAGATGCACTGCGTCTTCGCCTCAAGCTGTGTGCAAATTTCAACCATCGTTCTGACAGCTTAATCCAACTCCAAAACCAGCGCTCGCCTGTCGTCTCACAGGGGAAGCTCACATTTCCAGATGTCTGTGACATGACCTGCAGTTGAGACCGAGGGCGACACAGGGGGGCATGGGATGCGTACGCTTTTGCTCATGTCTCTGAGGAACAAGCTGGAGACCAAAGAGCCAAAGGCGTGCAGGTCCCCTTCCAAAAAAACCGTTCTTTGAAGAATGTTTTGAGTTGTGCGTCAAGTTGCGCCCACTCTCCTGGGAAGCTGGCAGCTTCACAGGTCCTAGAAGAGCATTGCTGTGCCTGCACAACAGTTCCTTTGCTCCACTCGAACAATTTGCTGCTGCACAGGGTACTGCTTACTCCAGTCCTCGTACTGCCCCAGCCCGTTCGCGAGACGGAGGGTAACCTGTGCGCACCTTGCACACCATTTCAACTCCCCGACACAAGCAGCTGAGGTGGCTTTTTTTTCACTACTTCACGAGTAGGGTCTTTCAGGTTATGTCAACAATATGTTAACGGAACTGCAACCTCTAGAATTGAAACGCCTCACCCTTCACAGTGAGCACAAAGTAACAGCTGTGAGTTGCAGCTTTAGGCATCCGCATGCCCGACCTAGGGCCACTGAGCATGCTTCGATGTGGGAGGGTGGGATGGACGCCCCGATCGCCCGACAAACCCCCTGCACGGTGCTTGTGCTGTTGTCTGCATGAAAGAACCCCTCATCCCTCAAAGCGAAAACCGCGTTTGAAAGCACAAGCGCGGCGCCTTCCAGGTGCGGTACGCCATAGCTGGCCATCTCCAGGATCACAGACACACCTCGGACGCAGCCGAACACATGGCACAACTCATGGCCACAACATGGCACACAACTCATGGCATGGCCACAACATGGCACACAACTCATGGCATGGCCACAACATGGCACACAACTCATGGCATGGCCACAACATGGCACACAACTAATGGCATGGCCACAACCCGGCAACCAACTCATGGCAGAGTCACAACATGGCACACAACTCATGGCATGGCCACAACCCGGCACACAACTCATGGCATGGCCACAACCCGGCACACAACTCATGGCCACAACCCGGCACAACTCATGGCCGCAACATGGCACAACTCATGGCCACGAAATGGCACAACTCATGGCACAACTCATGGCACAACTCATGGCACAACTCTTGGCACAACTCATGGCCACAACTCATGGCCACAACATATGGCACAACCCATGGCCACAAGATATGGGACAACTCATGGCCACAACTTATGGCACAACTCATGGCCACAACTTATGGCACAACTCTTGGCCACAACACGGCACACAACTCATGGCCACAACATGGCACAACTCAGGGCCGCAACATGGCACAACTCAGCGCACAACTCATGGCACAACTCTTGGCACAACTCATGGCCACAACTCATGGCCACAACATGGCACACAACTCATAGCCACAACATGGCACACAACTCAGGCACAACTCAGGGCACAACTCATGGCACAACTCTTGGCACAACTTATGGCACAACATGGCACAACTCCTGGCACAACTCATGGCACAACATGGCACAACAGGGCACGTTCTGAAGCACCACTGGCACCTGAAAACCCTGCCTCCCAAAGGGGAAAATGAATGGGACGCTCATGCCGTTCTTCGGCACGTAGTCACAAGTGTCCTGTGCGGGAGTGAGTGGATCCACCTGAACCTGACGCATTCCTTAACCTTACAGGGAACCGATTCATCTGACATTCATCAGGTCCACTCGACCGGCAAACCAGCTTACTCCGTAGATGTCTTAGCTGTCCTCATGATTATGATTGTCTTCCTATGTCTTCTTTAGCAGACTACAAGCGTGAGATGTGCGAAAGCAAAGGCCGACCATGGCAGCCCTTCCTCGCCGGAGTGGATGACGGCACAGGCTTCTTTGGAGAGGCAAACTGCGCACACGGCCAAAGATTTTCAGAGGATGCAAAGAGTACTTGGGCGGCTCTGCGCTCATTGACATTCGTATTGTGTGATGTGGCTCATCATCAGCGAATGCTCCAGTTTGCAATCCTACCGGCATCCATCGGCACAAAAGCACGGTCTACACATCTTTGCGTGGGCTCGCCTGTGTTGAGTGGCCCCGGACCTCGAAACCACAAGCTGCAAGCACGTGCAAACATTGGGAAGCCACTGCTCATTGAAGCCAGAATCACATAGGTGGTTGTCAAAATCATCATCCCTTTTGGGGTACCCTAAATAATAGGTGCCGCATTATAATAGGGATTCGAAAAGCCACACGAGTAAAACAAGGGGATGCGGAGCTGACGGGCCTCCCCAGGTTCCAGGAAGGCAGTCCCCGCCTGGAATCAGAGCTTTGAGTGGGGCACTTTTGGTTGAGGGTTTAGGGGTTTAAGGATTCAAAGGTTTAAGGGTTTAAGGATTCAAAGTTTAAGGGTTCCATCAGTGCCATCACTGCTTGGCAAGCAAACTCACCGATATCTGGGCAAGCTGCAGGCGTTGGAAACGGAGCCCCTCTCGGAACATGGCCTTATTGGACCATGTTCTTAGATCTGAACATGTTCAGGTCAGGTGAGCATTAGAAAGGGAGTGGCCAGCTTCGGTCTATAGTTGCCCTGTACTTGTTCACATAGTCATCAACATCACCTGCCTGTGGTAGAAAGTATGTCCTGGTTTTCTGCTGCAACTTGCAGTTGCCAAATAGCAGGAGGACGTGAATCGACAAGAGCAAGTTGTTACTGTGAGAAAATACAGCCTGAGGCGTTCGCTGTCGACGTAGAACAGAGCAGTCCGGGCTCCTTGTCAATCTACGACATATGATCTGTTGGCCTGATTTGGCCTGTCTGATCCTGTTTGGCCAACCTCTGCTGAGCTGACTCATGGTGCCATGTAATAAAGATTGAAGCTTCGGGTCCTTGAGCAGTCTACTAGTCCGTTGGCTGTGGCAAGCTCGCCGCTCATGTACAGCACAACCTCGACACGCTGCCCCACACAACTTCACGCAGCAAACCTGCGCAGCACTGAGGAGGAGGCCAGAGTTCTTGCATGGCACCAAGGAGCCGCCCTGGGCGCCCTGCATCTGAATTGCTTCTTGCACTCGGGTAATTACGAGAGGGCCCCAAGGCGAGGCCGCCCACCACTTGCGCGGCCTCACTGAGCCCGGCCCAGGAGAGTTCAGCTGACCCTGCGTGAACTGGCACGCATGAGACAAGCGGCAGCTCCGAGACATGGAAGTCCTAACAAGTATGCAGCATGCAGACAGAGAGGTCCTGGACAGTGCCTCGCCATCTCCCCCGTGCTTGCATAGCCAGCAACTCTGTGCCAATGTTGTTCGATCTTTGATAGGTAAAGTAGCTGTCAAAACATGTTTAACACACCTTCTAATCCTGTCTGTCACAAAAACGCCGATGTATCCCATTGATGTGGGTCTAAGCGCGCTTCCTGCAACAACCAACATAGAATGCCAGACAGGTTAAGTGCTACGTGTCTGA